ATTGAGGAAAGCGCCCTGGGGCAAAAATTCCCTTCCAGGCAGAGGGTGATGGGATCTGGAGGAGCCGCGACCGGGCAAGAGAAGGCGCCTGGGGCGAGGCGGGCGCTCGAGGGGAGTGCGGCCGAGTGCGCAGCCCCCGCGAGGAAACGGGCGGGGTGCCAGGCGGACGGAGGGAAGGCGCCGAAAGCGGAGCTGCCGGGGGGCCCCCCTCGGCCAGGCTTTTGGCGTTCCCGCCCATGGGAGACCGGCCACTGCGGCCGCCTGTGGTCAACGGGGCTTCACAGAGGACCGGAACAAGGGCCAGGGAGGGCCATGGGGATGCCTCATCAGCTGCAGGTGTTTCACTTAGAAAAATGGCAAGCGGGGGGGAGGGGGCTCGGCTGCAGGGGTCGGAGGACTCCCTGGTCGCTGGCGTTGCCACGGGGGACCTTCAAAGCTGCAGGTGACGCCCACCCGAGGGCCCGGTGGACCCGGCTCAGCAGCTGCTGCCCGTCTCCCAGTGATGCCAAGAGAGGCGGGGGGCGAAGCACGGTGCGGGCCGGTGCCCGACAGAAGTGGCGGCCTGGGAGGGACTCGGTGCCGCCCGTCCCGGGGTCCTTTGCCCCCTCGGCTTCGGGAGGAGGCCCTGCCGGCTCTGCCCGCGGGGGCTGGAGGCGCAGCTCGGCCAGCTGGCGGCACACAGAACTCGTTGCCGGGAGGCCGCGGGGCCGGGCCTCAGCTCTGCGGCAAGCTGGGGCCCACCAGAATGAGCCCGCCTGGCTCTGGGAGGAAGTGCGAGGGCAGCCTCAGCAGAAATAGCTTGGCCTCAGCAGGGCAGAGTGAGCGTGTCGCAGGCCCAGTCATCCCGAAAGTGCCCCGGCATGTATTCCGGATATCGCTGATACCGGGTGGGGTTCCCCCCCGCCAGATTTCAGGCTGAGCTACTGCAGAGCCTTGAGTGAGACGCGTCGGCGTTCCACCCCCTTCGCATCGCTCTGGTGACTGACTCTGGTTCTCACCGCCTCGGCAGCAGCTGGAGCGAAAAGCAAAAGCAAAAGCTGCTTCCCACCCCTTCCCGGAAAGGCGGAAGCTCCCCGGAGCTCTCGAGGGACGGCGCTCCTCGGAGACCTCCAGTCCTGTCCCAGCAATGGGCGCGCGGCTGTGGCACCGGTGGAACGGAAGGCGCGGTGTGGGACCGGCCTGTGTGGGGCTCCAAGGACCCTGCAGCTCGGCTGCCCGGCACTCCCGCCTGCCACCGGGCGCAGCGGAAGGTGCGTTGCCTCACCGGGCACCTCCGGCCCACCTTCCCTCCCCCACTGCGGCCCCACACCGCACACCTCGCCTTGTCGCTGCTCCGTGGGGAGCCGTGGCCGGCAGGGCCTCTGGGCCTTGTGAGCACCCGGAGCCTGAGCAGTCGGCCAGCCCTTCTCCCCTTGGAGGCCAAAGGTTACTTGCTAGCTGTGATTTATCTGTCTTCTGTTGCGAGGTGCAGTTGTCTTAGTCAGACCTATGCATCATGCAGTTACACGTGGTGGCTTGGGAAAGTGTCATTGCCTAACATTTCCAAGGAACAGTTGCGTGATATTTTCCCTCAGAAGTCAAGGCGCCTCGAAACCTCGCAAACAACGCAGACACGCATCTTCGCTACGTTTGCCCCTCAAAAGTGCAGTATGACGGCCGTGGTAAAAACGGCACACCACCCGTATTTTGGATGCAAACGAGGGGATCAGGACGAGAGTCGGGCCCCTCATTCTCGTTGCATTACATGCGCAACTGATCTGTGTCACTGGCGAAACGAGAAGAAAAAGTCCATGCCTGTCGCAGTCCCGACGCGGTGGAGGGAACCCGCCCAGCGCTGTAGCGACGGCTGTTTTTGCATGGCTCCCCCAGCTGCAAACTGGATCTCAGGAAAGAAGAAGTGGACCGTGGGATAGCCACACTTCATCCACACTGCGTCCCAGACCCCATGGTGAGGACTGGCCAGTTCCAGATCCACCAGAATCCCACTCTCTGGACTCAGATGATGGTAAAGACGAAGGGCAGGAGGCAGCTGATCCGGGGCTGTCGATGTCGGCGGGCCCAAGCCTTAGCCCACTGTATGCTGTATCCCCCTGAACCACATCTAAGCCCAAAGCACAGTTTAGATACTGAATACCGATGGAACTTTGTCATTTAATCTGATGTTAGAGCTTGTCAGTTTTTCATGCAAAAAGCATGAAAATGTTACATGAAAAAGCAATAAATGAATGGAAAGCTATGTTACTGGTATCCATAGAAAGATAAACTTACACTGATTGGTGTTGAACCGTTCTCATTGCTATATCACATTTTGCAGAAAAGTTATGGAGCAGAATCACCCCCCCCCCGTAATTTTGAATTATTTTGATGCAATGTTGACCTGAAGCTGTATCTTGGAAACTGGAGCCAATTAATATTCAGGACTTAATTTTCCTTTATTAGTAACCCAATTCTGGTAAAATTTAGCTACTTTCATTTCTGAGGCTTTCTCCTTGTGTTGCTGCCAGTCGTGAAGTCACTTCTGACCCATTGCGACCCCATGGTCAGCACTCCTCCAGGCTCTCCTGTCCTCCACCATCCCCCAGAGTCCACCCAAGCCCACACCCACCGCCCCAGTGACTCCCTCCAGCCCCCTCATCCTCTGCCGTCCCCTCCTCCTCTTGCCCTCAATTGTTCCCAGCATCAGGCTCTTCTCCAGGGAGTCCTTCCTTCTCATTAGGTGGCCAAAGTATTTGAGCTTCAGCTTCAGGATCTGGCCTTCTAAAGAGCAGTCAGGGTTGATCTCCTCTAGGACTGACCGGTCTGATCGCCTTGCGGTCCAAGGGACTCGCAGGAGTCTCCGCCAGCACCACAATTCAAAGGCCTCAATCCTTCGGCGCTCAGCCTTCCTTATGGTCCAGTTGGCACAACCACGCATTGCAACTGGGAAAACCATCGCCTTGACTATGCACACTTTTGTTGGCAGGGTGATGTCTCTGCTTTTTAGTCGGCTGCCTAGATTTGCCATAGCTTTCCTCCCCAGGAGCAAGCGTCTTTTAATTTCTTGGCTGCAGTCCCTGTCTGCGGTGATCTTGGAGCCCGGGAAGATAAAATCTGTCACTACCTCCATTTCTTCCCCATCTATTTGCCAGGAAGTGAGAGGACCAGATGCCATGATCTTAGTTTTCTTGATGCTGAGTTTCAAGCCAACTCTCTCACCCACATCAAGAGGCTCTTTAGTTCCTCCTCACTTCCTGCCGTGAGAGTGGTATCACCTGCATATCTGAGGTTGCTGGTATTTCCCCCGGCAGTCTTAGTTCCCGATGTAATTGTGGGCTTCTTGCCCAGGGTGGGGGGCGATCTCTGTGATGCGTGTCTTCCTCATGAAAATGGGCCAAAATGCCACAGAGCAGAAAGGGAAGGGGAACTGGAGGGCTTCCTCTCGGGCTGGGTGAACACGCCTGCCGTGTGATTTCATTTCCGGTTTATATCCTGCCTTTTTCCTACAAAGGGCTCAAGGCAGCTTACATCATTCTCCTCCTCCATCTTATCCCCACAACAACAACCCTGTGAGGTAGGCTGGGCTGAGAGGCTGTGACTGGCCCAAAGGCACCCCGTGGGCTCCATGGCTGATCAGCTGTACTTGTGGATGTGGATGGAACCCGAGGTGAGCAGAGCAGGAAACCAGTGCGCACAGAGGAGGAGGAGCCCCCCAGGGGTCAAGACTGCTCTCGCACAGAGCCCTGGACCTGGTAGCCCTGCGCACGGAGGGCTTCCGCAGCGTTTCGTGGCTCTGCCAAAACCGGTGGCTTGGTGGCCCCCTTCCAAAAACATCCGTCGAAATGTAAGGGAGCTCTGAGCCAAGGAGCTGCTCCGTCTTGCGGACACCGCTTTCTGACTGCTCCTCTCCAAAGGGGCCGCTAAGCCCGCAAGGGTCTTCAAGACTTTTGCAAGACTTTTTACACAGAAAGACTTCCAGTGAGCGTGGAGGGGAAGCAGGGCCCTCTGGTGTGCCAAACCTCTCCGGTTCAGGGACAAGCAGCAGGGCGCCAGTTCCCAAAGTGCTAAACTGGGGACCGAGTCACAGCAAGGGGGGCGCTCAGTCCCACTAACAGCACCGAGGCCTGAAATAAGCAATGATCCAGATCAGTCGGAAGCGAAGAATCCTGGGGGCCGCGGGGGCTGCAGTGGGCTGGAGCGTGTGCTGGCACCTGCGCACTCAGCCCTCCCCAGGCGGGGGGCACGCGGAGTCCCAGCAGTGCCCAGGATGCCAGCGGGATCACCTGCCCCCCCCTTCTCCTTGTTTCCCTGGAGGCACGAACTGGGGGGCTTTGTAGGCGAGCGAGCAGCTTCCTGCCTGAGGCAGGGAAGCCCGTTCAGCAGAAAGTCATGCTCAAAGCCGGGGCTGAAATGGCCAGATTGGCATGAAGGAAAGTGGAGCACGGGAAGCTGTGCCTTGTTGATCCTGCTTTCATTGTAGGACGGTCAGCAGAAATCGGACGTCATACAAACATCTCAAATAAATAAGGGGGTGAAAGGAGACAGAGGAGGGGGCTCCGGGAGGCAAGCATCCGGGGGAGCTCTTGGGGTGCCAGCGGGGGTGTCAGCAGGGGCCCCGTGGGGCTCCAGGCAACTTCTCCCTTCGAGCCCCGCAGACCAGCTGCGCGGCTCCACGGAGGCCTCGGCGGCCCGGCTGTTTCCCAGCGAGGACGCGCAGGCGGCCCGGCATGCCGAGGCGGGGGGCGCGCGGGCGGAAGGGGCCCCAGGGGCTGCGCATGGCGCTGTCGCCCGATCCGGCGCGCTCCCCAGGGAGGCGCGCGCCTGGCAGCCCCCCCCCCGCCGCCCACGCGAGGCGCGTGCCCGGCGGCGGGATTCGCCGCAGCTCCCGCCGTTTCTCGTAAGTCAACAAAACAGCGCGATTCCAATCTTCCGTAGCCCGGTGCCGAGCGGGGGTTTCCCCCCTCTGACTCAAAGGGAGGCCGGTGACGGCGGCCGGTGCCTATAAGATGCCCGCGCTGCCCGCGCTGCTCCCCGCCGCCCCGCGCAGAGGACCAGCAGGATGCCTCCCGACGCAGGTAGGGGCGGAGCTGCGCGCCCCGGCCGCGCCCCGCCGGCCACCCTTCCTCCGAGCTGGCGGGGCTTTCGGGACGGGCGGCGCCGATGCCGAAGGAAGCTGCCCCTCGCAGACGCCCCGCCGGGGGAAAGAGGCGCGCTGGGCAGCAGGGCGGGGGCGGAAGGGCCCGGCCTCCGGTCCGCGCTCGGGCGAGGAAGCAGGCGGGGAACCGGCCGCGCCGGGCAGGGGGCGACTCTCCCGGGGACGCGCGTGCTGTGCGCGCGTGCGAGAGCGCGGGAGCTCTTAATGCGCGCACGGCCCGCCTTGCCCTCCGAGCTGCCGGCCGCCCGTCCGAGGTCCGGGGTACAGGCTACCAGCTGCAGCGTATGCGAGCCGAGCCGAGCCGAGCTTGGAAGGATCGGGAGGCGGCGACTGCGCCCGCCCTGGGGTGCGGGAGAGGCCGGAAGCGCCCGCCGCTGCGAAGGCCGGGAAGAACCGAGCAGGTGCGGGGCGAGGCTCCCGCCGGCTCTCCCTCAGGGGCGCCCGGGCGGCTGCGCGACCTGCGTCCGGCGCAGCGCAATCACGCGGGCAGGGCGGCGTGCGCCAGGCGCAGGAGCGCAGCGGCTGCAGGCTTGGCCGGGAAAGGCGCTGCGCGGCGAGACGCCCCGGGAAGCGCCCTCGCCCCCCGTGTGGAGCGGAGCGGCCTTCGGAGCCCACCGGGGCGGGGGGAGGCTGGGCAGGACATCTGCTGTGAGGAGGGTGGCCGTAGAGACGCTGGCTCCAGCCCGCCCCGCTGGGCTCCGCGAGGCCGGGATCCTGCCGGTGCTCGGGCAGAAAAGCGGTCCTGCTGCCCCGAGCGGCGGGCCCCCGAGAGCCGCTCGGGCCCGGGGCTTCCCCTCCGGCAGAGATTGGCAGAACGGGCGCAGCACCTCCCCGCTTCGCGTCCCCACGGTGCGCTGCGCTGCCTGCTCTGGTGACGCGCGTCCTGCCGTCTTGGCTCGTGGCGCAACTGGCTCTGCGCGGCCTTTGCCCCGCTTGCGGGTTTGCTCAGTGGTCCAGCTGGGCTGCAACCTCCACGGGGCTTCCGGAGGCAGTGAGCCTGAACCGAAGGCCAACGTTGGGGGGGGGGGGGGTCACAGAGGACGCGGCCTCCGCGCCCCTAAGTTTCTGAGGGCACCTCCCAGTCTGAGAGGGGCAAATCTGCTCAGCCGGTAGAAACGGCACAAACAGAACTGCCGCGGCATTTAGCTGTCGGTCGCCATAGCCCGACAGCGCAAGGTTGGAGAACAGCCAGAGGGCGGTCCACTTTGGTTTTGGCTCCAGGTTTTGTGAAGGCACCAAATTTTTGAGGCCTCGTGGGAAAATGAAGTTCTGGAGGGTTGGAGGTGGTTTCCGTGGTCCCAATCTTCAAAAAGGGTAGCAGAGGGGATATGGGGAATTACAGGCAACTTAACCTTATGTCTATTCTTGGAAAAACAATGAAAAGGCTCATAATAGGGAAAGCTCTAGAAACCCTACATAGGGGTGGATTCCATGCAGCATGGATTCCATAAAAACAGGTCCTGCCAGACAAACCTGGTGGAATTCCATGACAAGGTTTCGAGGTGGCTGGATGGAGGGACTGCAGTGGATGTGGTATACCTGGATTTCAGCAAGGCCTTTGACAAAGTGCCCCATGATATCCTGGTGGAGAAACTGAGGAGTTTTGGGATACACCAAAGCACTGTCCGGTGGATTAGGGCATGGCTGACTGACCGAAAGCAGAAGGTAACCATTAGCGGGGAATCATCGGGATGGTGGCCAGTGACAAGCGGGGTCCCCCAGGGCTCTGTCCTGGGGCCGATCCTGTTTAATCTTTTCATTAATGACATGGAAGAAGGGTGAACAGTCTGCTGATCAAATTCGCAGACGACACTAAAACTGGAGCAGTGACCATAACTGAGGAGCAGGTACTCCAGATCCAAAAGGATCTGGACAGACTATGGAAGTGGGCAGGAGACAACAGGATGGCGTTCAGTGTGGATAAGGGCAAGGTCTTACAGGTACAGGACAGGGGACAAGTGGCCGAAGAGCAGCCTTTGTGAAAGGGACCTCGGGGAGCTTGTCAACAGCATGAACATGAGCCAGCCGTGTGATGCGGTGGTCAAGAGGGCAAACGCCACCCTTGGATGCATAGCCAGAAGTGTGGCTTCCATATCTAGGGTGGTGTTGATACTGCTCTACACGAGTCTGGTGAACCGCAACTGGAGTCCCGCGTCCAGTCCTGGGCTCCACATTATAGGAGAGACATGGCGTGGCCCAGCGCAGGGGCGCCAGATGGTGGCCGGGTCGGGAAGGATGACAAGTGCCGACAGATGGAGGGAACCGGGTCTTTTCAGCCTGGAGAAGAGACTCCGAGGGGCTCGCTCAGCGACTTACGGCCATGTGAGGGGATGGCATGTGGAGGAGGGCCGTGAGCAGTTCTTCCCTGCAGAGGAGGGCAGGATGCGTTCCAGTGGGTCAAAGCTCAAGGAACTGGGCCTCAGGGTGGATGCCCCGAAGTGCTTCCTGAGGGTTGGGAGCCCGAGGGCATGGAAGGGGCTTCCACGGGAGGTGGGGAGGGGCCGTCGGGGAGGTTGCTCAAGGAAAGATTGGACATCCACGTGTTGCACTTGCATGGACGGAGCCAGGGGTCAGACTAGATAGCCCATGAGCCCCCTTCTGGCTCACTCTGTTTCTTTGCTTCTGAATCCTGCCCAGCTCTGCTCAACTGCATTTAGTGGGGCTTCCTGGCAAGGACATACAGTCTGACGTACAGAACGACACCTCCTTTCTTTCTCCCATTCTGTGGTGCGAGAAGTTTTCTGTACATGTTCAGAGGAACTCTTCTGTGACTCATGAGTCCTGGCATTAAACAAGAAAGGCTTTGAGATTACTTCCTGGCTCAAATTTCAGTCCCAATTGCAATATACCCATTTCAGCGAGGGGCCAGGCTTAAGTGGTGACGGCTTCGAATCATCGTGCAGCCCCTCCCAGCCCACATAAATCACCACACCGGCTTCGGCGCTGGGAGCCAGAGCCTAAATTCCTGTAGGAGCTGCACATTCTGTGCCCCAGAGCGGCCAAGCAGATCTGCCAACAGGAAGCTAAAAACCGACATGAGGGCAGGAGCACTTGCTTTCCCCACAGAGCTCCCGGGCAAGTGTCCGTCCGTCAGGGCCGGCTGCGTCTCACCCCGGAGAGCCGTTGTGCCACGCAGCCTCAGAGAGCCCCCGCTCCCTGCTGACTCGCCTGGCCCTCCTTTAAAGCTGTGGGCCAGTCTGGCAGCAGCCAGTTCCACAGGTTAATGGCCCGCGGAGCTTGCAGCCTGCCCCCTGCAGGGGCTTCCTCGTGAAGCAGCCCTCGTGGCTCCAGTCGTCACGCCAGGTCCCCCCGGCCCTCCCCCAGAGGCACAGACCTTGCTGTGACCTGCAAAGGCGTGTGCTTGGTCACCTGCGGGATCCAGGTAGGGCTGGGGAAGGGCTCCGGCCCGACACCTGCGCAAGCCGCCACCGCCGCCCACGGGTGCTGACCAAGAGCCAGGGCTGAGCGCAGGACGACCGTCACCGTCCCCATGGTCTTGCTTCCAGGTCTCGGGCACAGCCACGCTCTTGGCTTCTTCTTGGCCCTGCTCTGCAGCTGCAGCTGCTTCCACGGGACAGGTAAGGCAAAGGGCCCCGGGGGGACGGGCTGCCGGAGGCCAGGCCTTTGTCTGGGGGCCGGGCTGGCCAGCCGCACCCATGGGGCTCAGCTGCCAAGACGCCCCCCCCACAGCCCTGTGCAGCCTGGGACACCCTCCGCCAAGGGAGCCCAGCAGCCACGCGGGTGGGCGTGCATGGGGGTGCGGAACGGTCCGGCTTATGCGTGTGCCCCGAGAACCCACGGGACGTGGGATGCAAGTGCATCGCACCCAGTTAGCACTCTGTACGCTCCCCTGCGATTTGCAAGACAATAAATCCATCTTCCCCGGCCGGCACCCTCGCCTGTGCCACCCCTTCCTCCCCTGCAGTCGCGCTGCGATTAGCGCCCTGATGGTGACCAGGCTGCACAACCAAAGACACTTTGTCGGGGTCCCCGGGGCCTCTTGGGGCCCCCAGCAAGAAATGCGGCCCTGTCCGGTGGACTCCTTGAGGGGACAAGAGCCGAGGATGCTGCGCTCCGTGCCGTCAGGGGCGTGTGGGGCAGGTGATCCATCCTCACAGCCTTTTAACCAAGGCCTTTCTCTTCTTAGAGTCCGGACCCACATGGAAGTCCAGCATCTTCTCCACCCTCCAGTACAACATCAGCTTTGGTAAGAGGGGAGAAATGTGGGGGGTGGGCGGGAACCGTGCCATCGCGCAGCGTCTTCCGAGTGTGCAAGAGGCCACGTCAGTGGCTCGCAGCACACCAGCCGGGACCCGAAAGCACCGGCAAACGGGTATCTCCGAGCTGGGAGGAGTCCAAATGGCCAGTGCGGCTCAGTGCAAGGACCCGTAAATCGAAGCACAACGGGCAGGACAGTCAAACCTCAAGCGGAAGTTGATGAGATCGGAGCTCGCACGGAGCACGGGGAGGGCGGCCCTGCCTGCGGCTGCTGTGAAGAAGGCCAACGCCAACACCGTGCGCGGGCCAGTTGGGCTGGGCAAGGCCGGGAAACGTGCCAGGGAGAATGTGGTGCGCAGTTCTGCTCAGCACACCTAAAAGGGATGTTGCAACGCTGGAAAAGTGCAGTGAAGGGCAGCGGAAATGATGGGAGGGCTGGAGCAACTCGTCTGGCAGGAAAGGTTAGCACAGTACTTAAGCTTAGCAAAAAGGTGAGCCTGTAAAGGCATGACAGAGGCATGCAAAATCACACGTGGGGTGGAGAAAGCCGATAGGGAGACTTCCGCCGCCCCTTCCCATGCTGGAGCGATGCGAGGCCCGTCGGGCAGAATCAAGGGAATGCCACTTCATACAGCACATGGTCAATGGGACTCACGTCCGGAGGTCGTGGCTGCCACCCGTTTGAGGGCTGGGCAACTGAATGGGGAGTGGGCCAGTCCCAGGCGACTAGTCCGAACAGCTGCATGCGGCTCCGGAGGGTCTCGGGGGCAACGCGACAGAGCCAGAGGGCTGCTGCGGGGGGGTGGGGGCTGCCGCCTCCCGTCCGACTTGTGGGCTCCCTGGGCAGCTGGGTGGCCGCTGTGCAAGCAGCCCTGGACCAAGCACAGCCCCCGCAGACAGGGGGGCACCCGTCCCACTCTGAGAAGCGCCTTTGGTGGGGAGCGCGGTCTTGGACGCAGAGCCAGCCGGGCGATGGCCGCCGCACCCCCCAGCAGGGCTTAGAAGCGCTCCTTTCCAGCAGCCGTCCACAGCAGGAGGACTGGAGCCCTGGAGGATTTCACTGCAGGGGGCGGGATGGCAGGCTGGGCGTTTTACGTCGAGCCGTAAAATGAGCTCACAGCGAGGAGGGGGATACCGAAAGAAATGTGCTTGTCTTTCAGGATTTGTTTTGGTACGGGAGTGGAGGGTTCTGCCGGGCTCGGCTGGCACGCTGCTTTCATTATGCAAAGCCAACCGCCTTGCTTTGGTCTCCCAGAACAGCTTTAAAACTGGCTGAGATCCCGAAAGGACTGACCCGATCTCGGCGGGGGGGGGGGGGGGCTGCCCGCTGGCTCGCTCAGCACAGCAAGCAGAACAGCCCCGCCGTCTCGGAACCGCGCACAGGAAGCGGGGGCAGCCCCGCCATGGCCGCCGTGCGCGGTCTCTGCTTGCGGTCTGGCCGGGCGCGTCTGGTTCCCCAGACTCCGAGGCAGCACCGGGAAGGGTGGCGTTCCGCTTGGTCCGGTCCAGCGCGACGCTGCCGTTTCCCTCCCTCCGCCGCCACTCGACACGCGTGATCCTGCCACGGCACACGGCTCCGCCCCACGCGGGCAGCGGCAGCCCGTGGACGCGGCTGGGAAGAATCACGCAAGGGGGGATGCGGCGCCGTGGAAGGGGCTCAGCGCAGAGTCGGCCTCCTCCGTGTCCGCGAGAAAGAGCACGGGGCTCCCGGCCGCCACGGCTCCAGGGCCCCGGCCGGGCAGGCATGCTCGAGGGACCCACACCCCTTCCGCGGCCCTTGACTGCACTGCAAAGGCAGGCCTGCGCCTTGTGCCGCCTCTCCGGCCGGAGCAATTTAGACAGCCCCTGGTGCCACCGCTCCTCTCGAGCGGCACCGTCGTGCCCGGGCGGGGGTCCACCGTGCGCTATCGGCAAGGCACCTCGGGCACGCGGGCCTCCACCCGGCTTCCCAGGTGTGCTTCAGCCACTGGCTGCGTGAACCGGCTACCCCGCATTACCGCAGCTGAGATACGGCAGCTCCCGCTGGCAGGCTCACAGACGCAGGGGCAACGTCTTTGCATGTGCAGCCAGATGGCACAGGTGGCGAACATGCATGCGCAGCCTTTTTGCACCTGCCCATCGGTAGGTCCCCCACGCGCCTCGTGGTACGTCCAGCACCCGATCTGCTCTGTGCTGGAAGGGCCGTGATCTGCCCCCTCCTCACTTCAGCTGGGTTCTGGGGAAGGGGCCTCCCCTTGCCAAGGCTGTGGGCAGGCGGGCACAGCCTCCCCGGGCGACTGGTGACGCATGTCCCTCTTCCTCAGGGCAGAAGCTGGGCGTCCTGTGCCAGGGCTACACGGCGTACAAGTGCGAAGGCCTCATCTACTGGCTGGCCAACGGCACCTTTGTGGACAACCTGTACCCGGAGGCAGTGGTCCTTGAGGGGAAAACCAGGTACGCACACCTGCAGCTTCCCTCCTGCTCCAGGGCCCCCTTGTCCCCCACAGCCCCTTGAGGAAGTGCCATGAAGGGGCCAGGTGTTCATGCAGAACGAAGCAGCCCCCGCCGTAGCCCCGGCCCACTCGGAGGCCGCCTCAGCAGCCAAGGGTGACCAGGGAGAAAAAGGGGCTTCCTGGACCAGCCCAGTCCCCTTCACATCGCCGGGCCTCGATGCCGCCTGCCCCGGCCAGCACAGCCCAGGGCCAGGAGCCCCGGGAAGCCCTTTCCGGACTCTGGAAGGGGCCACCTTAGGTAAGGCTGCATGCGGGAAGCGGCACTGTGCGGAAGCCGGGGCGTCATGCCTGAACTCGGATGGGGCTTTGGGCTTCCTCAGGGCAAAAGCGCACAGACCGCGTCCTCCGAGGGGCCACACAGGCACGGCCTCCTGCCCGAGGAATTCTCCAGACAGGCACCCCGAAAAAGGCTGCTGCAAGCAGCGCACGCTACGGAAAGCACCGTTCTTTGCACCCCACACACCTGTGGGACTGGAAAGCCTTCTCTGAAAACATGCGAGCTCCTTTTTAACCCTGGCGCCAAGATCTTCTTGATCCAAGACGCAAGGGACTAGTGCTCACCAGGGAAAGGTGATCCCGTTGCAGCCCCGGCCCGGCAGCCCCGCCTGCCCCTCGAAAAGGCACCCAGCAGCCCAGCAGCAGATGCGGCCATTTCTCCCCCACGTCTGCTCTGTCTCCAACTTCGCGTTCCAACGGAGCCCAGCTCAGGGAACCAAGGTTCAGGTTGGATGGTTAGGACCCCGAGGGTGTGGAACGGGCTTCCACGCGAGGTGGTTGAGGCCCCATCAGTGAGGGTGTTCAAGGACAGGCTGGACGTGCCCATGGTCGGAGTCATGAGTGGAGCTGGCTGAGCTGGGGGTCAGACTAGATGGCCCGGGAGGCCCCTTCTGACTCGCGCGGTTTGTTTCTAACTCAATCCCTGCCTTCTGTCCTGACAGGGAGAAAGCCCAAGCCCCTGGCTGCCTCCTGGAACGGGAGCTCTTCTTCTACTCCTTCTCCCTGAGGGACCTGGAAACGGCCTTCACATGCACCATCCTTGACCCATCAGGCCCCGTCCAGAGGAACGTCACCTGGCACCTCCAAGACCCCAAGGGGCTGCGCAACGGGGGGCTGCTGAGCAGCATGCGGGGTAAGGAGGGCCCTCTGGCCCGGGCTGGGGGGCTGCAGGCAAAGCACAGCGTGGCCGCAGGGGCCCTCCGACTGTCCCCTGTGACAGTGGCCCTCAGGGACCCGCTCAGGTGCCACACAAGGGCTGGGGCCCCAGAACTGGCATTCTGCTTGGGACCCATTCGTCCGCCCACCCGGGGGGAGAGCGCGAGCGAGCGCCCCCAGGCAAGGGAAGGGGGCATCTCCCTCGGCCTCCCAGCGCTTGGGGCAAGCAGGAAAGGCCCCCCCCCCCCCCCCAAGGGCAGGGCTGCTCAGCCCCCTGCGCAGGCGTCCCGTCCCAGCTTCTCAGAGCTACGGTGTGGGTGTGCAGCGCACCCGTCCGTCCCCACTTCCCCCGGGCAGCTGCAGGCCTCACTTCAGGCTGCGTGGCAGGAACCGGCCGGTGTCCCGGGGAGCCGGTGCCCGGCCAAGGGAGGCAGACAAAGCGGGGGTGGGCAGGGAAGCGCCCCCCAGCACTGGGCTGCCCTGGTGCGTCTCCACCCAGCACGGCAACCTTCTCCCGGCTGGCCCGGGGCAGCTGCGGCACTCGCTCTGCTTCCTTCGTTTGCAGGTGTTTAGGTGGCTCCCTCCTCTGTGACCTGCGGAAGCCGGCCCCGGCCCACGAGCGACAATAAACACGTTGCGTCTTTGCGGCACGCCTGGCCCTCTTTCTGCACGTCGGGGCGCCACGGGGCAACGGGAGCAGGTCAGGGAGGCCGCCCGGCTCTGCTACGCCAGCAGCGGGAGGCGTCCCCAAGCGCCGAGGGGAAGCTCCCGCTTCATGAAGAACACCGGCCTGGGGTGTGGGGCGGGAGGAAGCGCGGAAGGCCTTCCTGGCCACACACGCCGTGGGGAGCTGCTTCAAGCGCGGAGGCGCCGCGGCCCTGGCTCAGGAGGGAGAAGGCCCCGGCTGTGGCCCCGGCCGTGGCCCCAGCACACAGCAGCCTCCCCCGGGAGGGGAGGGGGCAGCGGGGCCCTCCTGGTTCTCCTGGGCCCCTCAGCAGCCTCAGTTGCGAGGAAGGAGCCGTGTGGGGCTGCAGCGGCACCTCCGCTCGCCGAGGCCCAGCCAGAAAGTTGCACGCTCCACAGGAACACGCCGCCCTCCTCGGGCCGAGGCACAGTGCCGGCGGGGGCCCGGGGGGACCGCTGCGTGGCCGGCCATGGCTCAGTGCGCCCCCTTTTCTCAGAGCAGCAGCTGCAGCGAGCATGTCCCGGCTCTCCGGGTAACAACCGAAGGGCTGAGCTGCTGCTGCACCCAGCGCATGAAGCGAGATCCCACAGAAGGCCCGGCCACGCTCCCTTTCCTAGGAGTGAGTCTCACTGCCCCCCGCGGGGCTTCCTTCCAAGTAGACATGCTTTGCCCAGTGCCACAGAGCCCCCGAAGCCACTACTGGGAGAAAAATACCATTTATTTACAAGTAGAAACATTATTCAAAATGACACGTTTGATAGCTAATCTCTCTACAAAGGCGAGTATCAGGCAGTCGCGAGGGAGGGCTGCGCTCAGGCAGTGTCCTGGAACCAATGCATGGGGCAACCCCGCCGAGGAGCGCCGGCCGCTCCGAAGCCCCTCTGGCCGGGCCCAGCTCGGCCCTGCGCCTCTCCTTCCCACGTTCCGCACCGGCACGGCCGGCTGGCATCGAGGCAAACAGGCCGCGCCTGCGGAGAGCCGGGCCAGGGATGCGGCACTCACCTGGGACAGGTGCCACACGGGGCAAGGAGGGGCCGCTCTCTCCCGGGCGAAGGAACGGCGATCGCACGCGGGACGCGACCCGGCAGATGTTCTCCCGCGTGGCCCTCACTGGGGGGTGTGCAGGAGACCTTTCTGCCAAACCGCACCCCAGAGCGCCCCGGCCCTGGCAGGACAGAGCCGGCCCCAGCGGCCCCCACCCACAGCCCCTGCCAAGAGGAACACTGCACTGAACCCCCCCCCCACTCCACCCCAGGGCCTACAGAGTACGATACAAAGCGACACAGCTAAGTAAAGCCTGCGGGACAAAGGGAAGGCGTGCGCCAGCCACAGCTCTGCGGAACCCCTCCTGCCGACGGCAAGCGGGGGATTTGAAGACAGCTGCCCGCCCCCCGCCCCCGAGAGTGGCCGGAGACCCTGCCTGTGCTGCGTAGTTTTGCTGCTGACAGGCGTGGAGATGCCCCAAAGGTGCTGGAGCCCAAGGTGGCCGGGGCAAAGCCCGGCGCGCCAGCCGGTTTCCCGGCCTGCTGAAAAAGGGCCGGCAGCTTGTTCCGGAGGCCTCTGCTGGATCCGTGCCCCCCGGTCTCCGCAGATGGGAGTTCCACTGGGGAAGGGACACCTTGCAACGGAGAACTTGCACGGGCGCAGAGTGGGCTGGGCGGGGGAGCTCTCCACGGAGCCGCCCTGGGAGTCCGCGGCAGCGACGGGGCAGCCCCGCCGTGCCCATGGAGAGGTGGGGCCTGCGCTGGGGCTCCGGGCCGGGGAGAGCCGGCTGCTCATCGGAGGGCGTTGCCCGGGCGGGCGAGGCCTGCGGGGGGCGGGCGTGGGGGGGCAAGCCCCAACTCCCACTCTGCGCCCCCGGCCTTCGCTGTGCGGCGCCTGCTGGCAACGCCACTCCCGTCCCAGCCGTGCAAAGGTCTCTCCTCCCAGACCGCCTGGGCACCAGCTGGAATGGCGTGGGGCCCATCCCAGCTCCCCAGCGCACAGGCGCACCGTGCGCCGCGGGTGAGAGCGCCCCCGTCACCGCACTCTGCTCTGCGGGGGCACCAGGAGGCATCCTGGTGGTGAGGAGGTGGGGGGCCTGCAGCACGGGAGGGGCCGCCGGAGACAGGGCTGGCCGGCACCGCGCTCCCTTCCCTCCGGAGACGCGGCACACGGGAAAGCGCTTGCGGCCCGGAGACGCGGCTCAGTACTTCGTGCTCTTCGGGGCGCTGGAGCTTGCCTGGGGGAACGAGAGACACGCGTGGCAGCGGGCACTCCGAGGCACCTGGGGGAAGGTCCCGTTCTCCCCGGGCCTGATCCTCCAGGGCGGCCAGGGCCATGCCGGCGGCCAGCAGCTGCCCCTGGGCGGCCCCCGTGGCCCTCGAGCCAGAAGGGTCCGCGCCTCGCGGGGACGCCCCGCCCCCCGCCAGCCCCTGCAGCACCCGCAGCACCCGCAGCCTGCTGGCCGACGCAGCTGCCCGGCCCGGTCTCCCCCGTGAAAAAACCAGCAAGGCACCCGCGGCCTTAAGGGGACGTGCGACCGGCCACCGGCCACACTGGGGTGCGGAAAGAGCCCGGCTGGGGTTCTCCGTGGCCTGGCAGCCTCTCGGGGGGGTTCCTGCAGCGTGTGGCGCGTGCGCTGCCCCGGAGAAGCTCCGGAAGCTCCAGCCGCTGCCAAGCAGGGTGGCGAGGCCGCCAGCGGGGACCGGGCGCGCGAGCAGGTCGGGGTCCCCGGCAGCCACGCCTGGGCCGCCTCAAAGCCCTGCTGGCCTCGGCCTCCAAAGCCCTCGCTGGCGGCTCGAGGCAGGCGGCTCCACGGGTTGTCTCCTCCGGTGTGGACCTGCGCAGACCCCAAGGCCGGCGAAGCGCAGGCGCGGACCCACTGGCCAAAGGCCGGTCCCTTCAAGGAGCCCGCCTGCGTGCGTCCCAAGCCGCCCGGGACGGAAAGTGGGCGCAGTGCCCCGTCCGAGAGGGGCGACGCTCCGCCGGCTGCCCTGCCCGCAGGCCCACCTTGCTCTGGGGAGACGCGGCTGCCCGCGGGGACCTGCGGCTGCTGCCCCGGGGAGAGTTCCTGGGAGTGGCTTTGCGGCTCGCCCCGCGGCGCAGGAGGCTGCTGCCCAGTTTCTTGGGAGTATTCAGGATGCTGAATGCCAGCGACTGGCGCCTCTCCGACTGCGGGGGAGAGAGAAGGCAGGGAAGGCTCACCTGGGGACGCCCGAGACGAGGCGCCGGGCGGAGGGCTGCCCCCTCTGGCGCGGAGCCGTTCCTGCCAGGGCTCTGCCCAGGAACCCGCTGTGGCCCCCCCGCCTGCCCCCCAGAGCGCGCGATGGGTCCCGCGGCCGCTCACCTGCTTGCCGGGCGCCTGGGCTTTGCCCTTCTTCCCTGCAGCGTGGGCGCTGTGCTTGCCCTCCTCGGTCCTCCCTTTGGGGGTCTGGGGCCGCGGGAAGCAGCTGGCAGCCTTCTTGGACTGGGGGGAGAGGGGGCCAGAGCTCTGTGGGGAGCACAAGCGGGCAGCTCCTGCAATGCAGGGACCCCCCTCCCCCCACTGGGCAGCTGGGCTACGAAAGGGAGGCGGATGTCCAGGGAAGGGGAAGGAGGAACGACTGGGCTGCCGTGCCAGTGCGTCCCAGCGGCACCCCAGGAGGCTGAGGTGGCCGTCCCATAATGCCCGTGACAGCCCAGGCCGCCCACGCCCCCCTTGGAGGGCCCCCGGCCTGAGCCCCGAGCCGCGGGGCGTGCAGCAGGCAAGCAGAAGCACCTCCAGGCCACTCACCTTCCGGTCGGCTCTGCCTCCTGGCTGCCCATTCGTCGGGCAGCGCGGCCCCCGGAGGTGCCTGCCATGGGCTCCCGCCCCCGCCCGCCCCCAGCGCCCCCGGCCGGCCGGACAGACGCCCTGCGGAGCCGCTCACCTCCGGGGTCCCCGGCCCCAGCTGGGACGCCTCCGAGACGCGCTTCCTCTGCTGCCGCGTGGCAACGCCCCCCCCGGCCCAGGCGGCGCTCAGGGTGCTGCGGCGGGTGAGGGGGCCCTCGGGGGCCTGCGTGGGCAGCAGGCTGGCCCGCCGGAGGGTCTCCCGGGGGTCCCCAGTCATCATCTCCTCGTCCGTGATGGTCGTCAGCGACTGAGAGGGCTGGCCCGGGCAGAAGGAAAGGGGTCCCGTGAGACGCGCCCCGAGCGGCCGTCGGGCCAGCCCCCAGCCCCCACGCGGTGCCGGGGGGTGCAGCCTCCCTCCGCCCAGCCGGCTCCCGGCCTGGGGCCCCCAGGCACTCAGGGACGAGCCCAGAGGAGTCTGCCCAGTGGCAGGGGCTGCGTGCACGGCACGGCTGCTGGGCCAGGACGGAGACGAGGAGCGCCTTCACTCGTCAGGGGCAGCTCTGCCTGCCGGCCTCGCCCAGCTCCTTCGCTTGCAGGCAGATTTCCCGAAAGCGGAGAGCAAACGAGGGCATGCGCGACTCCCATCCTGGCGGGGGGGGGGGGGTGCGGTCCCCGCGCTCACCCTGGACTCCAGCGGGTAGCAGGTCTTCAGGTGCGGGGGACACGCTCGGTTGCGCTGCTGCAGCTCAGCAATGCGGTTCCAGTCGTCCAGCTGCTCGGGCTCCTCGTGGCACGTGCCCACGTAGAAGCTGCTGCTGCGCCGGCCTGCGGGGGGCGGAAGGGAGAGCGCGAGGGGCGTCCCTGCAGGGAGCCGCGGCCGGGCCTCTGGGCGGCTGCGCGAGGCAAAAGGTGCCGGGGGTGGCCACCCTCACGGACACGCAGCCGAGCGCCACGGGGGCAGGGGGCCACGGAGCGGCTCTGCGGAAGGGTTCTCGAGGAAGTTGCTCCAGAGACGGCGGAGCGGAGGAGCCCTGGGCCGGGGAGGCAACAGAACCGAGGGAGTGCCGGGCGGCCCAGCCGGACCGGACAGGACCAGGGCACGGCCAGGCCGCCCCCCGCTTCGCGCACAGGGGCCCCTCAAGCGGGGCGGTCGCGAGCCTCCTGCGGCCCACCTCCTCGGCACCGGGCGCGTGCGGGCCGGCCGGCCGCCTCCGGGCGAGGAGGCAGCAGGGGGCCGCAGCCCCATCGCCCACCCCACGGCCACCGCCTCGGCGGCCTCGGCGCCGGCCCTGCCGCCCCCGCACACTCACCGGTGCTCGCCCCGCCGGCCTGGGAGCGCCTCATGGAGCTGCGGGTCGCGGGCCGGTAGCCGGGCAGGTTCATCAGGGCAGCGTTGGCCGCAGCGTCGCTGGGGGAAGAGGCCCCCAGCCGGGCGAGGGACTCCTGAGAGGGGAGGCTGGCGAGCGAGCGGGTGGAGGAGGAGGCTGCGGAGCGCAGGCGGGTCTTGACCGACTCCTGGCTGGGGGCGCTTGCCTGAGACCCGGCCGGCTGCAGGCTGAAGGGCTCGCTGGCGCTGTACGGGGTGTCCGGCTCGGCCTGTTTCTGGGAAGAAGCATCCGCGACCTGAGTGCGAGGGCGGGGGGCTCCGAGCCCCTCTTGTCCCAAGCCCTGCCCGGCCGGGCCGCGTCCCTGGCAGACAGGGCACCCGCTGCGGCCGCGCCCCGCCCCGCGGCCCGGGCCTTCTCCCCACGGACCGGGCCCCCGTGCCCAGGGTGGGGGTCTGGGGGTCAGCCCCACCCCGCCCCGCCCCAGGCAGCCCCGCATTACTTTGGTCATGGTGATGTGGACGACCTGCGTTGTGCGCCGGCGGCCCGAGAGGCTCTTCCGCCCCGACTCGAAGGACACGTCGCCCACGGCAGAGAGGCTGCCCTCCAGCTTGGACCGCGCCCGCGTGGGGATGGGCGTGAAGCAGAGGCTCTCCAGAGACTCCACCTTGTGGGGCAGCTCGTGCGGCGCCTTGGAAGACTCCGAGGCCCCGGATTCGGAGAGCGACCGGCGGGTCCTCCGGCTGCGGAGGGAAGCGAGGGGGGCCGCGCCGTCAGTGCCCCGCAGCCGCACGGGCAGGGCCGGAGAGCGGAGACGCCGGAAAGGGCCGGCCGCGGAAAGTCGAGCCCCATCCGCACCGCCAGGCTGTCTGGCTCTTGCAAGGAGGGCTGTGGCAAGCCAGGGGGGAAGCAGGCCGGCCCCGGGACGCGGGGCCGCCCCCCCAGGGGCTCTCCGGACGATCGCCATGCCGTCCCGCCAGGGAACGCTGCGCTGCGGGGGCTCCGCTCCTTCTCAAAAGGAGAACTTCTCTGGGGGAACACGGCTCAGTCCCGTGCAACGGGGCCTCCCCTCCCAGGCTGCTCGACCTCTGCAGGGCGCTGCCAAGTGGGGTCGCCGGCTCCTCGGGGCGTGTGGCCACCGCCGTGCTGACCGTGCACAGTGCCGTTCCTGTGCTGCTGGCGGGTGCCTGGCTGAGGCAGTGGATGATGGGCTGGGTGGGGGCCACCCGACCGAGGACAACGCAGACGAGGCCGAGGGGCTGCGAGTGGGCAGCGCTCTGGGAGACGGGGCGGGGGCTCCGCCTGTCCTGGATGGGGCCCGAGCCCACTGAGAACTTCACTGTCTCGGATTCATGAGCCGCCCTAAACTGCCAGGGGCGCGCCGGCTCCTGGGCAGCCCGGAAATGGAGCCAAGGGGTGCGTGGCTCTTACCCGGTCGAGCTGAGCAGCTGCGTTTCGTCGCCGGTGCTCAAATCCAGGCTGTCGGAGCTGATGTCGGCCGAGCCCTGCCTGAAGGTCTCGCGGCGCTTCAAGATGTCCGTGGCCGCCTGGGGCTTCCCCTGCCCTCGCAGCTGGCGATCAGCAAACTGCACCTGCACAGGGGCAGGCTGGGGATGAAGGACGGGGTGCCACGAGGCGGCCCACGGCGGCACGGCCCCAGTCGCAGCCCAGGCTAAAGAAGAGCCCTGTGTCGGCTGGCGCACCTGGCCCTGGCGCACCTGGCCGCCCTTGCAGGGGAAGACCCGGCAAGAGAGGAGAAGAGGGCATGGGACGGGCTTCCCCGGGAGGTGGCCGGAGCCCCTTGGTGAGGGGTTCAAGGCTGGGCTGGACGTGCACATGGTGGGCGTGCCGTGAGCGGAGCCGGCTGGAGCCAGGGGTCCGTCCAGATGGCCCGGGGACCCCCTCCTGGCTCGCGCTGTTTCTCTGATTCTCTGCCCGTGCCCAAAGCCCTGCCTGGCCCTGAGCTGCACGTGGGACAGGGGACTGGGCTGCCACTCGCTTCTCCCCCTCTGTGCCCCATGAAATGGGCAGGAGCTGCCTGCTGGCCGCTGGTCCAGGCTGGGGAGGGGAGACCGCGGGGCCCCTGGCTGCAGCTGCCCCGCCACGTCCGCCACCTGGCCAGGGCTGAAGGGGCCGTGGCCCCGCCGGGCCTGGAGAGCCACCTGCTCCCCGTGGCTGGCCCCACGGAGGCACGCAGGTGGGCCCCCCGCTCCCGGCCCCAGGAACAGAAAGGCGGGTGGGGATGGGGCAGGGCGGGGACGGGCGCCCCCCGCTGCGTCACCTGCGCCTCCAGGGTCCGCACTCGGCTGCTGAGGCTCTTGCAGTTGAGCTCCGACTCCTTGGCCTGCAGCACCACGTGCTGCAGCTCCTTGGCCAGGCGCTCCGACTCGGCCCGCAGCCCGGCATTCTCCTCCTCCAGCTGCTCCAGGTGCTTCACCTTCTGCAGCAGCTCCTGGTTGTGCTGCTTCTTCGCGTCGTAGTGCGTCCTGGCCTTCTCCACCTGCGGGGGCGGAACGAAGGGAGCGGTCAGGCACGCCGGGCCACCCGAGGGCCACGGCCGGAGGAACGCCCACCCCGCCTCAGAAGATTATTTTCGAGTGGTTGACGCCAGAAGGAATATTTTTCGTTTGGAATTCTGTAAGACATAGATTAGACTCAATTCTCAAAGCGCAAGAATCCTATGAAAATTCAGAGCTATGCTTGAAGAGGAAGAACCCAGCATTGCAAAAGAAGAAGGAAAAAGTACTGAAGCAATGGAATTAACAGAGTATCATTCTGAGGAAGGAGCAATAACGAATCTCGACGCACAGCAAGAAGTACAAGTTTTGGATTCAAAGGAGAAGAGAAAGGGTAAAGCTGTAAAGGCGAAAAATAAGTAGACATGTATGTGTGTGTGTGTGTATTTATATATTTTTTTTAAAAAAATGACTACAAAAAGAAGGGAGAATTGAGTTTCTCTCTTTAAACGTTAACAGACTGAATGGGCCTTCTAAGAGAAGAAGGGTTTTTGCTCAACTTCAAAAACAAAAATTAGATATAATTTGTCTACAAGAAACACATATTAAGAAGCAAAGTGTTAAACTTTTGGAATGCCTAAAACTGGGAAAACTGTTTGTATCTTCTACTTCTCAAAAGAAAAGAGGTCTAGCACTCTATGTTAAGGAAAAACTGGAAACTAAATTTATTCTTGTTGATGAGGAGGGTAGGATTCTGATGGTTGAAATTACAATTAAACGGAAAAAAGTACTTTTAGTGGCAATATATGCGCCAAACCATCATCAGGAAACTTTTTACCAAAAATTACACGTTACTTCTACAAGTGGATTTTCAGACTGTGTGTGTGATGGGAGATTTCAACGCGATTGTGGATAAGGAAATGGATTATAAGAATGTTAGTAAAGGAAAAAAGGGTAGCAGGATACTCCCCAAAGTCCTGCTACAACATGATTGAGGAATTTAGACTGACAGACGCTTGGGGGCATAAAAACCCATCTTCTGCCAAATACTCTTTTTACTCAAACAGACATAGGTCGTGGTCTAGAACTGATATGGTTTGGATAACTCCAGACTTAGTACCAGATCTGATAGAAGCTGAAACAGAGGCAAATGTCTGGGCAGATCACAACCCGGTATTCTTTTCACTAAAAGGAATTGTAAGGACGCCCAGATGGAGCCTAGATAAAGCATTGTTAAAAGATAAAAAATTTACAGAAAAGATAAAGAAATGCAAGTATTTTTTCAAATAAATAAACCAGAAGAAGCCTCTTTACAGAATGTCTGGGATACAGCCAAAGCCTATGTCAGGGGAGTGATAATAACATGCTCAGCGCAAATAAAAAGAAAAAACAAGAGCGAGCACGGATAGTAGAGGAGTTGATGCAATTGGAGCAAGTGCTGCCGGAGGACCCATCAAAACAACGTCTCAAGTCTCAGCTGGATATTTTAAGGCGCAAGTTAAACCTTTTGGATACAAATGAGCTTACTAAACAAATGCAGCTGACCAAACAGAACTTCTTCGAAAATGCTAATAAACCAGGGAGATGGTTAGCACATAAAGTTAAGAAAGAAAAAGAGAAGAGATTGATTGTGAAATTGAAAGACGGAGAAGGACAATTACATTCACAGAGTGCACAAATCAAGAAAATAGTGGAAGACTTTTCTTACAAAGCTTATCAGGAGGAGGAGATTCCAATCGAGAAAGTTAAAGAACATATTCGAAAGGAAGAATTACCAAAACTACCAGAAAAATACCAAAAATTATTAAATCAAGAAGTCACAATTACGGAAGTAATAGAAGCAATTAAGTGACAAAAGAATGACAAAACCCCTGGCCCAGATGGATTACCAGCTGAGTTTTACAAATTGTTTGAAGCAATTTTTGCTACACTCTTAAAAGACATATGCAATGAAGCATTGTTAAATGGTAAAATACCGACTACTTGGACTGAGGCAAATATCACATTGATACCGAAAGAAGGTACAGATGTAGCACAGATTCAAAATTACCGACCTATATTATTATTATTATTATTATTATTATTAGAACATTTCTATGCCGCCCCTTGCCGAAGCCTCGGGGCGGCTTACAACACAATAAAATACAATACAATACAAAATAACAATATAAAATTAAAATTAATAATATAAAATAAATAAATATAAAAAATATAAACGATATAAAAAAAGTTATAAAAGAAAAGTTATAAAAGAAAAGAAAAGAAGAAAAGGAAAGGAAAGGAAAGGAAAGGAAAGGAAAGGAAAGGAAAGGAAAGGAAAGGAAAGGAAAGGAAAGGAGTCGTCCTGGCCAGATGAAATTAAATGTGGACTACAAAATTTTTGCTTCTATACTCGCAGAAAGACTAAAGAAGTTATTTATAGACTTTATCCATCCAGACCAGAATGGCTTTTTGCCAAAAAGACAAATGAGAATAACTTGAGAACTATCTTGGATAGTTTAGAATATTATGAGATACATACCGAAAAACCAATGGCTTTATTGTTCATGGATGCCCAAAAAGCCTTTGATAATGTTAATTGGCAATTTATGATGCAACAGATGATTCAACTGGAGTTTGGTGAAAAATTTCTGAATGTGATATCAAGTATTTATCAAAAACAGTTGGCCAGGATCTTAATTAATGGAGAACTTTCAAACCCTATAGAGATCCAAAAGGGCACAAGACACGGATGTCCGCTGTCACCCCTCTTGTTCATTTTGATTTTAGAGGTACTGAATAGATGTATTAGGGATGACAAGGACATCAAGGGAACTAGAATTAGGGACGAAAGTTATAAATTGCAAGCCTTTGCGGATGATTTGGTTTTTATAACGGAGGAACCTTTTGTAACAATGCCTAAACTTCTACAACGGATTGAGGAATATGGTGAAGTTACGGGAATGAAAATAAATAGAGAAAAAACGAAATTGTTAGTTAAAAACCTTACGTGAGAACAAAAAGAAAGACTCCAGGAACAAGTAGATTTGCAGATTATTAAAAAGGTTAAATACTTGGGAATCTATGTTACAGCTAAATGTACCACTTTGAAAGAAGATAATTATGATAAATTGTTGAAGGACATTAAAGGTGTTTTGGAAAAATGGGCCAATTTACAATTATCTTTGATGGGAAGGACAGCACTTGTTACAATGAGTATATTACCTAAACTTCTGTTTTTGTTTCAAATGATTCCCGTAAAAATTGATAAAAAATTCTTTGATGACTTAAATTTTCATATCTCGAGATTTGTCTGGAGAAAAAAGAAACCAAGGATTAAATTAAAATGCTTCAGGAAGCTAAAAGGAATGGAGGTTTTGGTCTTCCTGATTGGATCTTGTATTACCAAGCGTCTGTTCTAACTTGGCTAAAAGAATGGATAACGTTGCGAAATAAGAGAATTTTGTATCTTGAAGGTCATGACTTACAGATGGGTTGGCATGCTTATATGTGGTATGAAAAAGCTAAGTCACATGGGTCGTTTCTGCGTCATTTTATTAGAAGATCTTTAATGTCAGTGTGGGAAAAACTAAAGCTAAAACTGTAAAATAAATTACCAAGATGGCTTTCACCTATGGAAGCTTTTGTATATCGAAATGTATTGAACTTTGAAAAGATCGTAAGATATGGTGATATCTTGGATAAGGATGGTGGCCTGAAACTGGAGCAAGAAATACAAGAACAGGGACTTAATATTTCCTGGTGGTATAAGGTGCAGATGCAATCGAGATATACGAAAGATTGTAAAACATGGGGGTTCTACAAAGACCTAACAGAATTTGATCAAGTGATGCTTAAAACAGATGAGAAAATTATTAAAAGACTATATGATTTTTTACTTGGCAGGAAAATGGAAGGGGAACAGGTTAAGGAAACTATGATAACATGGGCACAAAACTTTGGATTTAATGTTGAACTAGAAAAGTGGCAAAAACTATAGGAAAGAAATATTAAAGTAACATTAGTAACTTCGTACTAAGAAAATTTATATAAAATGTTCTACAGATGGTATTTGTCACCAAGTTGATTAGCTAAGATGTTTCCAAATATGTCAAATAGATGTTGGAAATGTAAATATAAAGTGGGTACTTTTTATCCTATGTGGTGGACTCGTGATAATGCAAAAAAGTACTGGAATAAAATACATAGATGGATGGAGGAAATACTACAAAAACCCTTTGCTTTTAAACCCGGAGTTTTCTTGTTAGGCATCATACCGGAAGATGTTAACAACCTGAGGATGCACCTAATCACAGCGGCGAGGACTGCATTTGCTCAGTATTGGAAAAATGAGGAGCCGCCCACCGATGGATCGATTGTAAGAAAGATCTTGGACTGCGCAGAAATGGATAGATTGACTTTATCGTTGAAGGAGGAAGAGGATACGGATTTCTATCGCACTTGGGACTCTTTCTATAATTGGCTAGAGAAACGGGATCTGGCGTAAACTTAGAGATGTTTTTTAAACTATTATAAATTGATTTGAAATTTGACTTTAGAATGTTAAAAAATATGTAGTAGGAGGCTGACCCAGTAAATCCAATGTTTGTCATGTTTGATGTTTTCTAGTGTTAGTTTAAAATGTTAATAAAATGTATATAAGAAAGGCTACTGGCACCTGGGCCTTGTAGTGCTCGGCGGCCTGTTCCTTCTCCGCCAGCTGCCCCTGCAGTTCCGCCGTCTTCTCGTTCAGCCGCTCGATGTCCGCCAGGAGGGCCTTCTCGCGCGCCTGTTCCACGGGAGAGAGCCGGGGGTCTTTAGGATGCCAGAGGGGAGACTCGCCTGCTGGGGGGCACCTCCACCGCTGGACTACGGCGGGCCAGCAGGACCGTTTCCTCCAAACTTTGCCCACATCCGCGGGCTGGCGAGGACATGCGCCCTGCGCTGACGGGGAGGCTCCCAGGGCAGCAGCGTGTGGCGGGCACGAGTAGGAAGGTGCCCCGAGACTTGAGGCTGGCCTCTTCGCGGCAAGCCAGGAGCACGCCCACCCCTCCGCAACGGGGCGTCCCCTCGGCACACCCGGGGTCCCCTTCGCCCGCCTGAGAACCTCCCCAGAGCCCCCCTCTGAGCCAACGGGGCGGGACAGCAGGGATACCCCTCGCCTCCGGCAGACTAACCGAACCTCCCCCGGCCCGGTGTCCCACAATGCCTTGCAGACCCCCCCATCAGCCCACAGGCCGCAATGCCAGCCCAGCACCTCCAGATCGGGGAAGGCTGGTTCCTGCGCGCCCGACGGAGCCTCCAAGGCAGGCCAGGGCAGCGGCTCTGGGCCGCATGATCCCCACACGCTGCCTCCTCGGCTGAGGCCCGAGGGCTTCCTTCCCGGAGCCCTCCCAAGCCTCCCCTCCCCAGGCTGGTGCTGCGTGGCACCCCAGCACGTGGACGTGAGGGCAGCTACTGCCTGGCCCACCTGGTACCAGGAAATGCCACGGGGCATGGCCTAAGGGGGCAGGGGCAAGAGGATGCCAGCCACAGCCCCTCCGCATCCACCCGCTCGAGCCTTTCCCTGGGCCAGCCCTGGCCTCCGGAGGGGCAGGTTTTCCCTCCTTCCGGCCGGGCCACATGGCTTTGAACCCCGATTTGCTAATGAAACAGTTCCGCACTGAGCTGCAGAACACCCCACGTGTCCCCGAGGGGCCAGCCGAGAGCTGCGGAGGCAGACGCATCGAGGACGGAAGGAAACGTCAACGCGCTGCCTTGGAAAACAGGAGCCGTCGGCACGGACTGGCCAGCGCTCCCAGCATTACTATCCCGGGCAGGGCCAGGCCCGGCCCCTCGCGTGTGCCCGGCTGCTGCCCTCGGGCATCTCCGCCCCCCCCCCAGGCAGGAGTCCAAGCTGCCCCTGCCACGTCAGCCACGCGGTGCAGCTCCGTGCACCCAACTGTCGCAGCAGCAGCACGGCTGGCGGTCTCTCTCTGTCGGACCCAGAACTCCCCGCGGGGGTCCAGCCTCTGGCGCCAGGGACACCGACAGCCCTGCACGGGCGGGCCAGCCTTGCTGGCTGCTGCAGGCCCCTCTGAGCATGGCGGGGGAGGGACAGGGCTGCCCCCACACGAGCAGCGCCCGCCTCCGGGGTGAGTGCGCCCGGGGGTGGCTTCTGCCTCGTGCCTCCGGTCCTCCCCCTTTTCAGCGCCCCCCAGGAGCGACGGGCCATGGGTACTCGGTCGGCTGCGCTGGGGCTGCGGCCCCCGTCACCTCGCCCCGCTTGCGGCTGCCCCTTACCTCTGCCCTCTGCTGCTGGCCTTGGCCGGCCTTGTCTTGCCGAGCCAGCTTCTGTTTCAGCTCGTCCACCTGGAACGGAGGGGGAGAACAGGAGAACAGGAAACGGGGCTGTCGCCCTCCCCTGGCCCTTCCTGCCCCACCAGCAGCTCTGCTCACCAAGCCTGCACAGCCCTGGCCCGGCCGCAGGCACCAGCAGGGTGCCGGGCCCTGCAAGGGACGCCGCTCGCCGTGTGGGAGGAGCCGTGTCTGGCAGAGGGACGAGCCAGGAGACGCTTCTTCGAGAAACGGCAGGGCAGGGCAGGGCGCAGCGCTGTGGGGCCGCCTGGCAAACATGCAGGCCAGGTTCCACTGCACTGGCAGGCACCGTTCCCGGGGCCAGGCGATGCCACGGCTTCCCTGCGTGGCGGCGGCGGCAGCTCCTTACCAGAGCTTCTCCCCACCACTTCCGCAGGCAACATCATCCAGAAAGGGCCCGCACATCCCATGAAAGCACCCCCCCCCACCGCCTCTTGCGTGCGGGGCCGGCACGACCTGCCAGCAGCGGGGCCGCGGAGTGGCTTTCGGAAGCAGAAACAGAAAGATGCGAGTCAGCATCTTCCCAGGCGGGAGCAGTAGAGCGCTTAATGCCGAAAGCAGAAAACCCCGAAGCACGACCTGGGCGGAAAGTGGCGAGGGGGCCGGGCGCTTCCCGCAGCCCCACAGCGGGTCCCCACTGGCCACTCCTGCTGTTTTGGGGCTGGTGGGGTGCCAGGCGCCCAGAATTTCTGCAGGGGACTGTCTCGGGGGGTCCTTTGACCAAATGCAGGGCTCACCTCTGGAAGGGAGCCCTGCTGACCCTCACAACGCATCAGTGCCCCCTCTCCGCAACTCGGCTGGGGCAGCTCCCGGCACCACCGTGCCGGGCCCCGGGGCAGTCTGCAGGGCCACAGCTGGCCACCAGCGCTGCTGAGTTCTTCCGCCTCCAGCTCTTTCCTGCCACCAGGTGTTAAGACGGCAAAGGGGAAATTTATAGAGGCCGCTACTGGAGCCTCCCCCCAGAAAACGTGGGGCCTGGCTGGGCGCAACAGATGCTTCCCGCGCCGTTCGGAAGAGAGCAGCTTCTGTGCTACCAGAAGAGCAGGAGTAAGGAAAAGGTGCTGCAAGTTCTGCTCTCCCGGCAGGTGTCTTTCGTGAAGGCTGGAATCTCGCACAACAACTCCCGAGTGGGGCTGGGCCAACCCGCTGCGTCGGCCTGAACACCGTGCGCCAGACACCACCACACCCCCAGGAGAATCCGACTGGAAGACTCCTCTTCCAAGCACCGAGACCGGAGTGCCCGAGGGACGGATTTCTCCATGCAGCTCTGGGTCGCCCCCGACGCAGGCTTGCCAGGTCACGTCCTTTCCTTCTCTTTTCGGGAAGAGAGCAGGTTTGCTAAGCGGCTGCAAAAGCTGCAATGCTCTACGGAAGGCGTTATCCTAGAGACGCTAAAGCGCCGTTTTCCACGCACCCCGAAAGCCGGGATGGTGGCGCCGTCACTGGGAGCCAACCAGTGTTCCACGCTCGTCCTCCACAAGCCCCCGCTGCGAGCCGTTCGCAGCGGGTAGGGGTGGCCACGCTGGGGGGGAGGCGGCGGCGGCAGCGGCCATGCACAGTCATCGCTTCAGCAGCCGGCCCCGGGCATGCATTACCTGCTTGGCGTGCTGCTTCTGACAAGCCTCCAGCTGCTCCACCTGCAGGATCGGGGGGGGCGGGGGGAGCAACAGAGGCAAAAGTGGACACGCCGCAGCTGACTCTGCGACCAGACCAGGCCGGGCCCGCGAGCCGCAAGCTCTCGCCCGCCCGCCGGGCCCGGAGGCCTCGTGCAGCCGCCAAGAGCCCCCGCTGGCTGCTCTCCCGCCGGCAGCAGGCCCAGCCACGGCTTTGGGCACGGGGACCCTCACCCTGGCCGGCCTGACAGCTCCCTCTTCAGGAAGCAAAATGCCCACCGCTGCCCACCCAAGGCTGCGGAGGGCTGGAGTCGGAAGGGCCCCTCAGACGGCCTGCTGCTCCCCGCACCCCGTGAGCAGGTCGGCTAAGCCGCCCCTCCCCAGCAACCCCGCAGAAGAAACGTGGCCTTGCAGGCCCTGGGTCCCAGCAGCCACGAGGACACGCCGCATGGATGGAGCTCGATGGCCACGCCAGGATGCCAGAGCAAAGCTGCACCGTCCAGGCGGCTGCCAGTCGGTGGGCCGGGCCGGGCCGGGCCCCCTTGACCTCAGGGCTGCCCTAGAGACAATGGGCAGCCCACCCCTTTCAGGATGGCACTGCCCCGAGGCAGCCAGGTGGCCCCGCGCGTCCCCCGTGGCTCGACCCCGGCCAGGTGGGAGGCTCTCCCCAGCCTTACATCGGCCACAGAGACAGCGCTGAACTGTGTGGAAAGCCACCCCAGCGGCACCCACAGGCGGGCGCTGGCTGGATGCCTGCAGTGCGGGAGAGCCGAGCGAGGGGGCCTGCTCCTTGCCCGGAGGGGCGCACAGTGCGCCTCCCCCCCAAAGCGCCGCTCAACCACAAGAGGGAGGGGAGGCCCCTACCTGCACCAGCAGCTGCTGCCTGGCCTCCTCGTGCTTGGCGGTCACGGCTTCCAGCCTCCTCCGGGCCTCCTCGGCCTCCTGCTTGCTCAGCGCCAGGCGCTTCTCGGAGTCAAGCCGCGCGGCCTCCAGCTCCTGGGCGTGCTTCTGCTTGGCCTGCGCCAGCTCCGCGCCGAGGCGCTGCAGCCCGTGGCCGGAGCTCTCGCCGAGCGCCCGGTGCTCCTCCGTCAGCTGCGCGTGGGCCCGCTGCAGGGTGGCCAGCTGCTCGGCGTGGCCGCTGTTCTCCGCCCGCAGCTGCTGGACGGTGCGCTCCTGCTGCAGGCAGCGCTCCTTGGCGGAGAGCAGCTCCGGCAGCTCCAGCCGGGCCCGGGCGAGCTCGGCCTGCAGCTGCTCCACCGCCTCCCGGTGCCTCCGCTCCTGGGCGGCCTGCTCGGCCTGCAGCTGCTGGCACAGCCGCTGGGCGGGCAGCAGCTCCGCGACCGTGGCCTGGGCGCCGGAGAGCTCCTGCTCCCGTGCGGAGAGCAGCTGCTCCTTCTGGAAGACCTTCTCCTGCCAGGTCTTGAGCTCCTCGCGGAGGCCCTCCTCCCGCTTGGAGAGCGCGCCCACCTCCTTCCGCAGGGCCTCCGCAGATGCCCGCAGCTTCTCCGCCTGCTCCTGGGCACTCTGCGCCTCGACTTTCATGGCGGAGCACCGCTCGGCGGCTCGGGAGGCGGCCGTCGCCATCTCCGACTGGAGGAGCCGCAGCCGCTCCTCCAGCTTCTTGCTCTTCTCGGACTCGGCCAGGACCAGCCGCCGCAGGTCCTTGCTCTCGGCCTCCTTCTCCAGCAGCTGCCGGTGCATGATGGCCATCTCCTGCTCCAGGCTGCCGATGAGGCCGGCCTTCCGCTCGCCCTCCTGCAGGCAGCGCGCCATCTGCTCCTTCCAGCTCTCCTCGGCCTTGCCCTTCTCCTGCGCCGAGGCGCGCAGGGCGGCCAGCTCCTTCTCGGCGCTCGATGCGGCCGCCCTGCTCCGGGCCAGCTCCTCGCCCTGCTCTGCCAGCTCCCGCCGCAGCTGCTCGACGGCGGTGCCCTGCGCGGCCTCGGAGGCCCCCCGCAGCGCCTCCAGCTCGGAGACCCGCTGCCTGTGCTGCGCCGCCTCCCGCCGGAGCACCTCCAGCTCGGCCCGCTGCTGCTGCTCGGCGGCGGCCGCCCCCTTCTCCAGCTTGGCCACGGCGCCCTGCTGCTCCTTGCACTGGCGCTCCAGCCGGCCCAGCTGCCCGCGGAGCGCCTCGCACTCCTGCTGGCGCCGCTCGCACAGCTCCCGGCTGGAGGCGCACTCCTGCTCCCGGTGCCGGTTCTCCTCCTGCAGGCTCTTGAGGGACAGGTCCTTGGCGTGGACCATGGAGCGGATGCTGTCCATCTCGGCCTCCTGGGTGCGGGCCACCTCCAGGAAGCCCTGCAGCTCGCTCTCCATCTTGGCCTCCCGCTCCTTCAGGGCCTCCACCGAGGCCAGCTCCCCCTTCAGCTTGCTCACCGTCTTCTGCAGGTCCCGCAGCTCCTCGCTGCGCGAGACGTTCTTCAGGCGCAGCTCCTCCAGCTCGCGCTCCTTCTCCCCCGCCAGCTCCTGGGCCCGGGCCACCTCCTCCTGCAGCCCGGAGACCTCCACCCGGTGCTCGTTGCTGGCGTTCTGCAGCTGGACCTCCAGGGCCGCCCTGCCGGCCTTCTCCGCGGCCAGCTCTGCCCGGGCCCGCTCCTGCTCGCCGGCCAGCCGCCTCGCCTCCTCGTCGCGCAGGGCCAGCTCGCGCCGGTGCTGCTGCGAGGCCTCCTCCAACTGGGCCTCCAGCGACGCCACCCGGCCGGCGAGCTGCTCCGCCTCGCGCTGCCTCTCCTCCAGGGCGGAGCGGAGGCCGGAGAGGCTGGACTCCGCTGCGGCCAGCTCCTCGTGGCTCCGCTCGCCCTGCTCCTTCACCCTGGCCTCCAGCGCTGCCACCTTGCGCTTCTCCTCCGCCAGGTCCCGGGCGGCGGCTTCGAGGGCCCGTGCCGCTTCGCGCCCGTCCTTCGCCGCCCTGGCCTCGCCCTGGGCCACCTCCTGGCGGGCCACGGCCACCGCTTTCTGCAAGGCGGCGATCTCGGCCCTGAGCGTCTCCTCCACGGCCTCCTTCTCCCTGACCTGGGAGAGCGCGCGCGTCGTGCCAGCCTGCAGCTCGGCTGAGGCCTCCCGGTGTTCTGCGCTCAGGCGTTTCAGCCGGCCCTCCAGGTCCGCCACCTTCTCCTGCTCGGCCTGCAGCTTCTGGAGGGTCTGCTCCTGCTCCCGGCTCAGGGCGCGGATCTTTTCCTCCAGCCTCCCACACTCTCGGGGGTCTTCTTGGGCGGCAGAGGCAGACAGCTCTGCCAGCTGACGCTGAAGCTCCTCCACCTTGGCCTGGGACTCCTCCTCCAGCTGCCGCACCTGCCCCTCCAGCGCCTGCCGCTTAGCCCCCTCCTCGCCCAGCGCCTGCTCCGCCTGCTCCCGGTGCCTCGTCAGCTCCTGGAGCTGCTCCTCCAGCTCTGCTATGCGCCTGAGGTTGCCCTCCAGGGACTCGGCCGCCCTCCTCTTCTCATCCTCCAGGATGCCTTCTGTGTTGCGGACAGACTCCTCCAGGACCAGCAGCCGCTCCTGCAGACGGGAGTTCTCCCGGGAGAGCTTCTCCTTGTCGGCCAGCTTCTGCTGGGCCTCGCGCAGCTGGGCCTTCAGGGCCGGCACGGCTCCCAGCTGGGCCTCGCTCTGCTGGCACTGGGCGGTGAGGGCCGCGACCCTCGCGCCCAGCTCCTGCACCTTCTGGCTCAGCTCGGCCTTCTCCCGCTGGGCCTCCGCGGCAGAGGCGCTCTGTGCCTGCTCCAGGACCCGCAGCCGCTCGGCCTGGGCGCACAGCTCCGCCTCTTTGTCCTTCAGCTGCCTTAGCGCGGCCTCGGCCTCCCGTGCGGCCTTGCGCCGCTCGTCCCGCCCCGCGGCCTCTGCCTGCAGCAGCTTCTCGTCGCTCTGCTTCAGCCGCTCGCTCAGCTGATCCACCTGGTGGCGCAGCTCCGCCAGGGCCGCCGCGGACTCCTGCCCGCTCTTCCGCGCGTCCTCTGCCAGCTGGCCTCTCTGGCCCCGCTCCGCTTCCACCTGCTGCTGCAGGGCCAGCAGCTCCTCGTCCTTCTGGCGGAGGAAGCCGGTCAGGGTGGCGATCTCTGCCGTCCAGCGCTCCGCTTGCGCCTGCAGGTCCTGCTCCAGCTTCTCCTTGGCCCGGGAGGCCTCGGAGGCGGAATGCTGCAGGTCGGCGAGGAGGCCCGTCAGCTGGAGCTTCTCGGCCTCAAAGCTCCCCCTCTCCGACTGCAGGCTGCCCTCCAGGGAGCGCTTCTCCTCCTCAAGCTGCAGGACGGTGGCCTGAAGCTCAGCCTGCTTGCTGCTCAGGTGGGCCACTTGCTGAGTCAGGCCTTCGAGCTGCCGGGACAAGCAAGGGCAACCAGATTACGCGCCAGGAGACGCCGGGACAACGACCGCCCCACCCCCGGATGCCCCTCTTTGGTGCCACGCAGGCAGACTGAGCGGTGGGCCTCGCCGGGAGCTGCGCTTCGGCTCTTTGGCAGCAGCGCGGGCGGGGGGGCAGCGGGCGGGGGGGGCGCCTGTCGATGAAACCAGCCATGGCCAGGCACAGGCACAGGCCGCCTTCTGCCCCGCCCCTCCTGGGGCACCTGCAGAGCACAGCTCGTGGTTTTAAAGAAAGCAAAGGCGCCAGAAGGAAACAAAGGCGGCAGGTTTCTTGGTGGCTGCTGCTGCCTTAATAAAGCAGCCGGGAGCAACCTCTGCACTCACTGGGGAGGGGAGGGGAGCCCCGATTCGAAGGCCCGCTGCCCTGGGCTCCAGCACCCTGCTTTGCCAAGCGGGGTGCCTGAGCCACTTAGAAGAGGGGCAAGCCCGGGAAAGCACGCGCGCTCTCCCCGGCCGGGGGCCCATTGCTGCGTCACCTGCAAGCCCAGTTCTTTCCCAGAGCAGCCACGGCTGGGCTTCCATGCCCGCAGCTCCGAAGGTTTTACAGGAAGGCAGGGCATGAACAGAGGGAGTGGCTGGGCTTCGGGAGCAATCCAAAGTCAGACAAAGCTGAAAACTCATTTTAAGCCGCTGCTTCTCCTGCCCGCTTGGGATCCCGGCCGTACAAATTCCCTTAGAGCAAGGCACAGATCCTGAAGGTGAGAATCCCTCGCAGGCAGGCCAGACAGACGGAAATCTTTTTGGCCTCGCTTCGGGAACGACGACGGGCGACCATGCCAAGGGATGCCGGGGGCTCCCAGAGCGACCCCTCCTGCGGCTCCTCTCAGCAGCCAAGAGGCCCGGTTTGCTTCCAGCCCCTCCCCTGCGGGCCCCCCCTCAGCGCTGCGCCTACCTTCAGGACGTCCCCGATGACCTCGCCTTTCTCCGGCAGGGCGCAGCTCTCCTTCAGGGTGGCCAGCTGGTCCTCCAGCAGCGAGATCTTCCCCTGCAGAATCTCCAGGTTCTCCTCCAGGCCCCTCTGGGAAGAGCACACGGCGCGCACTGCAAGGGCCGCCCCGGCAGCCTGCGCCCAGAGGGCGGCTTCCCCTCCGGCTGGACTGGCGGGGGGGCTGCCCGGGGCCCCCTCTTCCGCCGCAGGACAGGCAAAGGGCAGGCCTGGCAGACGCAGCCCAGGCCTCTGGGACGGCTTCCCGCCTGGGCAGCCTTGCCCGGCGAGCCAGCCGCTTCGCTCCGCCCCAGCCCGCTGCCCAGAGCCTTCCCTGTGGCTCCCAAGGAGGGGGTCCCGCCCCACACACAGGGGGTCTCTCCCTTTTCTTTGGCGAGGAGCGGCTGCAGAGCGTCCCACTGGGCTCGTCAGCGTGCGCTCCAAGCGACCCGCCTCTAGTGCGCGAAGGGTCTGTCCTGCGGCAACCAGGAGACCCCATGACCGGCTGGGCTGCTGCCACTTTCCCAAAAGCGTCGCCGGGGGGGGGGGGGGGGGGGATCACGCCACCTCAGTGTTTCCAAAGCCTCGTTCGAAACCCAGCAGTGGCCAAGGCATCGAAGCGCAGTATTTCCGCCGGGGGCCTTGGGCCCCCGTCAGGGCTACCCCAACTTCGCAGCTCTACACCCGCTGTGCGCGCGGGTGGGGCGCCTCCCCGGATGACGGGCCCCCAGGTGGGGGCAGCAGCGCTCCCGGCCCTTCCGCGCAGCGTCCCTCTCCCGCTCGCTGACCTTCTCGCTCAGGGCGCCGCGGAGCTCGCTCTCCAGGCAGCTTCTCTGCTCCTCCCACGCGCTCAGCGCCGTGCTGTGCTCCCCCGAGAGCTCGGTCATGGCCTCCTGCAGCTCCGTGAGGGTGCGGGAGAACTCGCGCAGCTGAGCCAGAACACAGGGACCGGCTTTAGCGCGGGCCCCCACGGCCTCGCTCAGGCACCCAGAAAGGGAACGGACGCCCCCAGGCACGAGTCCATGGGCCTGTGCAGTGGGCGAACAGGGGGTCGCTCTGGATAGCTCCCCCGTCCAAAGGGGCATGGGTGCCGCTCCCGGTCCGGTGGACGAGCAGGCCGGTGGCTCAGCGGCAGAGCGCGTCCTGCGCATATGGAAGCCCGCAGGGGCAAGCCCTGCATCCCCAGGGCAGAAGAGGGGGCAGCGCTCGGCCCCAGTCCTGGGAGAGCCGCCGCCCGGCCAAGGGGGACTCGCTGGACTCGGGGCCAATCATCCCTCTGCGTCAGGCAGCTCTGACGTGCCCCTTTGCTCCCCAGAGAACCCCAGGCGCCACTCGAGTCTGCTGTGACAGCTCACACTCCTTCCCCCGAGAGCGCCTGGGCAGAATTACTCAAAGAACACACCAAGGTCACGGGAGGCAGCGAAGGAGCACACGTTCCTAGCAGAGAGGCAGCGACTCCGCCGTCCTTCCCGAACCAGGAGTGAGCCTCTCCCCTCCCCACAAAGGTTCAGCGCGCTGTGGCGGGAAACGGGGGCGTCCGTACCCTGAACGCAAGATCCCCGTTCTCCTCTGACAGCTGGCTGATTTTCCGGTCCATCTGGCCTTTGTCCGTTTTCAGGTCCTGGCACTGCTTCAGCGTCTCGTGCAAGCGCATCAGGAGGCTGAGGGAGGGGGAGAAGAGGACGGAGGTGAGACCGGCAGACAAGCTCCCGGGCGGGAGGGCCACGGCTCTTCCCGGCAGCGGGTGCCCCACTCGGTCCTGGAGCGGCTCTGTGCAAACCGGCCTGGGGAAGGGAGGTGGCTGCCCGCAGGAAGCGGGAGATGCCCCGGGTGAGGCTCGAGCCTTCTGCAAGGCCAGGCGCTTTCTGGTTTGGAAGGGGGGCACCCCGGAGATCGGCCTTGCTCCACAGCCCTTTAAACTCACGAAGCTGCTGCTGCTGCTGGCTTTATGGAGCGCCATGCTTCGAGCAGCTCAGCTCAGCTGCCGCACAAGCGCTCAGAGGCGGAAAGGAACTGGAGCCCAACTCCGAAAAGCTGTCGTCTGCAAAGGCCCTTCCAGGTCGATGGCCCAGGAAGCGCTGCTCCAGGGCCCAGGGAGCGTCTTTATCAGAGGACGAGCCCAGGGATGCGCTGCGGGCAAACGCGAGGGGGGTGCCCGGGGCACGGTGCGGGAGTGAGGAGCTGCGAACACTGCATGGCGACTGAGCGTCCCAAGCCGAGGCCCAGCAGCCGGAGGAAGTACCTCTCGTTCTTTTCCCGGAGCTCCTCCAGTTCCTTTGGTTCCAGCTGATCAGCTGCTTGTCGCTCTTGGAGGAGGGTCAGGCGGTCAATCCGTTGTTTCATCACCAGGATTCGGGTGTCTAAACCAGGAGGGGTGATGGATACCATTCAGAGGCCGGAAGGCACAGCCCCACTGCTGCGGGCTCCCCACAGAAGTGGGCCCCACACCACATGGGAGGGGGCTGCAGCCACCCCCCTCAGCACTGACTTATTCCGTCCACTCATTTCTATACCGCCCGATGGCTGAGGCTCTCAGGGCGATCAACAAAAGTATAAATTAAACAAAAGTTAAAACAGGAACACACAACAATAAAATTAAAAGGGCAAAACCATAAAAGCAGCAAAGTTATTTTGTTTATTCTTCATTTATTCAGATACTATAACTCTGCAAAGTCTAGCAAATATGATTGCACGGGGGCCAAAGAGGTGAGCTGTGGATTTTGCGAAGGTGCCATTCTGGCCCCAGAGTGTGTGTGCATGGGGTGGGGTGGGGGGGCAGGCGGGGAGAAGGCAGCTTGCATGGCCCTCTGCACACGTCCCTGTCCACTTTGGCTTGGGAGGATCTCGTGGTGAGGCAATTAGACCAAGGCAGAGGCAGAGCCTGGGGTGTCAGTGGAAACAGCACTAAAAGGAGTATTCGGGAGGAGCCGAGTGATGATTATGCACCTAACGCAGCCTTCCCCAGCCTGGCCTCTCCAGATGCGTTGGACTACACCTCCCAGCATGCCCTAGTCAGCATAGCTAAGGCATGTCGGGAGTTGCAACCAAAACACCGGGAAGGTGGCAGGCTGGGGAGGCTGAGCTAGGGACCGATGCCGCTGCTGCCTGCGCTCATTCCTGGGAATCCCCCAGAACGCCACACTCGGCAAAGAAGCTCCTCCGCCAGGCCACGCGAGGGCTCCGAGGGGCTGGCTGGGGGGCAGTCCTGCCTCCCTCCCCACAGCCAATCAGACAAGACGGCCTTCAGGCCGCTTAGGCGAGCCCAGGAGGGTCCGCGGGGCAGTGGCCAGCAGCGCGTTACCTGGGACCTGTCCCAGACTCAGCCTCTGCCCTCCACGCTGAGGGGCCCCGGGGGGACCTGCAGCGGCCCCTGGCATGGGCCCACCACAGCCAGCTTCCCTGGCGCATGAGCACCTGCTGCGAGTTGCTCCGGGCTGCCCCTCGCAGGGACGGCTGCAGGGAACTGCCGGGGTGCCTCCACTGCCAGGGCACTGCCGTTCAGAGAAGCGGGCGCACCCGCTCAGCGGCACGGGGCCTGGACACAGGCAGGCGCGCCTGCCCAGAGCGACCTCCCCGGAGAGATGTGCCAGGGCCCCGCCACCCCTGGCTCGGGTCTTGCCGCCGCACCTTTCTCATCGAGGAGCTTCCGGGCCTCAGCCAGCTCGCGCTCCAGGTCGTCTCGGTTCTCCCGCTCAGCTTCCAGCAGCTTCTTCAGCCTCCTCACCTGGAACTGAGGCGTCTGCATGACGTCGCCCACGGGGGAGGCAGAGGCCCCCGGAGGCAGCCTGCCGGGAGACACAACCAGGCCGAGGCCACGCGCATGTCATTTTAGTCTGATGCAGAAGATGCTCGCACTCATCTTCTCCTGAGCTCGAACTGGTCAAATCGAAACTCATATGAATGCTGAGCAGCTCAGACTCAGAGAGTGCCATTCAAACAATTCCACAGCCCACCAACACAAGTGGCAACGCACAACCATCCTATTTCACCAACTGCCAGAAACCAGGCAAAGAAATGAGTCTTGGAATGGCCCAGGACGCCATCGGAGTTTTAAACTCACCCTGGAGGCTGCTTCAAGGTTGTAAGCTGGCTACAGTAAATGCCCCGATCGCCTGCTGCCAATCTCCCTTCTGGCCCCCCACTCTCGCAGCTGGCAGGGGGACCCTTAACCCTTCCCAGGACGGACCAGGAGGCCTCACGGTCAAGGTCTCGCTCAGCAGCAACGAGGACCTCTCCTTCCTGTTTGAGCTCCGGCACATCAGATCTGCCAGCGGGTGGCGATCCGGAGGCAGGCGCCCAGTGCCCCGAGCCTCACCTGCCTCCCAGGGGCTCCTCCTCCATGTAGCACCTTATTTGCTCAAACAATAAAAACCAAAACAAATAAACCCAAGACTCAAATCCGATGCGTGTTGGACAGGAGGAGAAGGTCCTCCGATCCCCACCACGGCCTGCCCTTCCGTTGGATTGCCTTTGCTATCACTTCTTTGCACCCCATGAATTTCATCCAAAGGCACGTGCAGAGTTTTGCAAAAACCCAGGCTCTCTCTTCCTACAGGAGATACCTGCTGTGCAATTTTGTCAAATTCAAAGCAAGAGGAAGGCGGTTCCTCGGAGTGGGGTTCTGAATCCACCTGCAGGACCCGCACCAGCCGCGTCTGCCCGTGCAGCGCGAGAGTGCGGGGAAACCCTCGGGAGGGTCGACAAGCAAAGCATTGCTCACGTGTTCAGGCCGGAGGAAGACGCGATCTTCTGCAGCGACAAGAAGTGCACCTCGCGCTTTGGCGGGGTGGCCTCCTCCGTGCGGGCGCTGGAGAGACTGGGCGACGGAGGCACTGGAGGAGAGGGGAGCAGGTGGGAGGTCAGAGCGGGCTCCCTGCGGGCAAAGCGGGCAGTGCATCCCGCCCAGGGTCAGGCCGGGCCGACGTGCTCTGCCCGGAGAAATGCTCCACGGAAGGACAGGTGGATCAACACGCTCGTAAGAAAAGGGCTCAACACCTGCGGCGTGGGAGCCGAGGGGAAGACGCCCAAGTGGGGACAAAAGATTTCCCAGAAGCTGCAACCACGAAGGGGAGACTTCCAGAAAGGCGAAAGTCCATCCAGCGTATTAGCAGACAGCAAGGCAGGAATCAGAGAAACGAGGCAAAGGGGTGGCCCCATGCGGAGCGCCGCGAGCACCCCAGTCCTGCAGCCCAGGGCCCTCCCAGGGGGACTGCCCGCCGCGAGGCGGCCCTCCCCACCCCTCGTTCCACAGGGGCCTTGCTCTGCCGCCCCCGATCACCTGCCGTGCTGGCTGGGGCTGAAGGGAGCTGTAGTCCAAACCCTCTGGAGGGCACCGGACCGGGGAAGGAAGACACACGGGGTGGAAAACGCCGGGACTGGGCCAGGTGCTGCTGCCCAGCCAGAAGAAGCCTCCTCAGTGGACTCTCAGGCAGCCCCCGGGTGGGGGCCACGCCAGCAGCCGGCCGAGAGCTGCAGCGCTCCTCAGCATGCACCCCCCGCCTGCCAGGTGCCTGTGCGCTCCGGCCACCCTCCACATGCCGGCCCCACAGCGGCCCCTCCAGCACGCCCACCCCGCCCTTTCCTCCCTGCTGAGGCAGAGTGGCCCTGGCGCCACTGCAGGGAGAGCGACTGCGGGGGGGGGGGAAGGGGAGGACGGGGGGGCAGCCTGCTTGCGTGCCAAATGCCTCGGCAGCCCGGGGCCCCCGCAGGACAGGCAGCAGGCGCCCACAGCCTCTGCCCACTCGCCATGCTGGCCAGCTCTGGCGGGAAGCATAGTCCGAAACGTCTGGAGGGCATCCCACGGCCGACCCCAGCTGAGGCATCTCTGGGGAACATCTGGCAACTGGGGAGGTGCCCTGGTTCTGCCTAGGCAGAAAGGACAAGTCCAAAGGCGGTACCAGGCGGAGGGGACACCCAAGCCCACAGACAAGCCCCTCTGCTCCCGTTTCCAGGACCAGCGGAGCATCATTTTACCGAAGGCAAGCTCGCTCTCTCCTGCCCGCTGCGAGCCAGCTCACTTCCTCCCAACTCTGCTCTCTTGGTCTGACCTTTCCTCCCCCAACTCCCTGCCTCAGACCCACCTGCGCCCCCCGCCTCCCCCCCCCCCCCCGCCCAGGCAAACACATCCCGTTCCTTCCCCTCCTAACTCGCACGACCCTTCTCCTCTCCAGCCCTCTTTCTTCTTACATATTTGGAGACCCCAGCCACTCAGACACACAAGCACCCCCTGCCCCTGCCCCCCCCCCGTTTTCTGATGGCTGCTCGGCCACCTGCCCACCAGGGCCAAGCGGGCTTCCTGCTGCCCTCCCGGGCTGCCACCGTCTGCTCAAGCACCGCCCCATGTCCCCTGCTGAAAGGGACCAGAGTCCCCCGCACCCTCCCCCTCGCCTGCTGACTTTTCAGGAAAGGCTTGGTTAAATGCGTGTGGCTTTCGCAGATGGCAGAAAACAAACGCACAGGGTTTGCCTGACGTCAGCTGGCGGGGAATTCCACAGTCAGGGAGCTGAATTCCAAGGGGACCGAAAAGGGCCCCGGGGGCACGCGGAGCTGCGAGGAATCCCTCACCCCGTGGCCCCACTGCCTGGGCAGACGCTCTCCAATGAACACGGAGGCTGCAGGCCCCCGCTTGCTCTGCAGGGACCCCCGTCGCTAGCATTTTTTAAAATTCCGTTTCCCTTTAGAGTGAACGGACACCGTTACCATCGCCCAGAAACGTGCCTGCGGCACCCGGGGTCCCACGGGCACGGTGCTGCCGACCCTCCGCCTTAGCCTTTCAGGGTCAAAAGACGTGAACCCCAGCAGAGCCCGGATTCCTGGCTGACGATCCCTGCGCTGCGGATTCGTCTGTCCTTAGCCCCTCCAGGCCCGTCACGCGAGCGGCAGGGTGAGGGTGTGCGAGGCACAAGGCTCACGGGCACGCCCGCAAAGCTGCCCCGAAACAGGGACGGCGGCAAAGTGTGCACCACGAAGGGTCCTGCCACCGGTGCTGGGGGTCAGTGTTCCCCACCGGGCGGCACACTTACTCTCCTTCTGAAGGAAGCTCTCCAGGTTCTCATCAAGGCAATCTTCATTGTACAGCATAAAGTTCAGGAACTTGGCCATCTCCGTCTGAGAGGAAGGAGGGAAGAGGGGCAGCCTGAACAACCGCGCCCCAGAGCAGTTACGCAGAGGAAAGCTTCGAAGGGAGACCCAACCCAACCCAACCCGCGCCCTTGCCCAAGCCTTCCTGGACCACGCATTGATACGCCGACATTGGCGGAACGTCTCTCCCGTCCAAACGTCACCACAAATAGTTGTCCAGTTGCTGGCAGGTTTCAAAGGCAAAAGAACAGCTAAAAACTCAAATACATTGAAAAGTGGTGGCGAGGGAAGCCAAGCAAAACAAAAGTCCAGCGGACAGGAATCCGGAGCGGAAAAGCAGGTGGCGACCGTTACCTGGAGATCGTGCTCAACCGTGGCCCATTCCCTGGGGATCTTATCGCTCATGGAAGCGTAGTAAAGCAGCAGCGTGACCACCTGGGAAAGAGCGAAACGGGATGACACCCCGGATGCGCCAGAGCACCGGGCTGGTTCCAGCTGTGCGCACGGCCACCCAGATGCCCTGAGCACAGCTGGCTGCAGCTGTCCTGGGAAAGCCGGACATGGGCTCAGCACTGGCACTGCTCTTCACCGCCTCCTGGCCTCCACTGCCCCGCAGGGGCCTCCCTCGTTCATCAGCTCGTCACGACGGCGGTTCAAGGCAGCGTCTTGGCCCCGTGGCACTTCCCCGTCCACAGGGACCCTCTTGCTCCAGAATTCTTGCCCCCTGCACAAGCTCCTTCCGCTGGCCTAGAGGATTGGGGGGGGGGAGCAGCGCCAGCAGGGGGTTCGCTCCTGCTTCCCATCCCCCCCGGGACGGGGGAAGCGGGGCAGGGCTGGTGCTTGCTGAACAGCCCCAGATGCGATGGGAGCAGCAGGGGGGCCTCCCACCCTCCTGACACCCCCTTGCAATCGAGGCCCAGAGCACAGGAGGTTCCCGACCCAGAGCGAGATGCAGCATGCCGGAGCGGGGCCCTTGATATCGAGGAGAGCCGACATCCTGGTTGCAACGATACCTTGGCTAGTTCCAGTTCCTCAGCAGCCAAAAGCTTCTCCTCAGATACCAGGTTCTGTTTGGTCGATTTGTGCTTGCAAAGTTCTGGAAAGAGGGAGGTGGGCAAAGGAGAGGCGGCCGCCATAAGACAAGCGCTCTGCGCTGACCGTCCCCCTCGTCCCCCCCCGTTGCCCACCCGCAGCAGAGGAAGGGGGGAGCTACAGGGCTGGGCGCTCATTCTGCACAGAGGGTAGGCAGGGGGCATCTCAGGCAGCTGGTAACATACCCCAGAATGAGCAAAGGGACAGCACGTGAGCGGACCACTTACTCTCGAGAAAGCCGACGACATAGGCAACCCGCTCTTGCAAACTCTGCTGCAAAACCGCCTGTCCCTCGTCGGTGCCCTGACTGGAAGAGAGCGAGGCGGTCACTGCGACCGGGATCTGGCCTCAGGGCGGCCACGGTGCAGGTGCAGGCGGGGGCAAGGCAGAGCTGCCGCAGCAGCCCGTGCCCACGGCCCACCCGCCAGCGCCGTCCTCCAGGCCTGGAGCCGCGTGCAGGGCCAACTCATGCCGCCACCCTACCGGGACCGGGCGGCCTGGCCCACCCGCCTGCCCACGCGCGTGGCGATGAATTGCGCACAGGGGCGAGAGGCCGACTCTCGCTTCTCACGAGGCAGGAGATCCGGCAAGAAGGAAGAATGCGCGGCACCGCGAGGCGACTCTCCTGCAGCTCGCGTTCCCCCTCCAACAGTGGCCAGCCGGCCTCCCAAGGCACCCGCGGCACGTGGCGAGCGCAAGCAGGCACGCTTGCACCGGGCACGTCCGTTCAGCTCTTAGAGGCGACAGCCCCAGGGACTGCTCCAGCCTTCCCGAGAGGCAGCAGTAACGAAACCCGCACACGGTTATTCACACCACTGGCTTTTCTGCAAGCCTTTAAGTGGGCTACTACTGCCTGTTCCCAGAGTAAACTGGGAAGGGGGAACACAGAGCCATTTGTACTGATGGAGACAAACAGGAGGGAAATGCTCAGGCAGAGGACCGTGAGCAGAGCCGGCTGGAGCCGGGGGTCAGACTAGATGGCCCGGGAGCCCCCTTCCGACTCGCCCTGTTTCTATGCTTCACTTCTCTGCTGCAGGCGCAGGACTCCCCAGGCTTTCACTCCCTTGTTCACATGCTCAGGACGGCAAATGTGCCCAGAGACGTGGGAGGAGGAACTGGCTGGCCGCTCCTCAAGTTTGCAACGCTCGTTTTGACAACCCAGCAACCACCTCAGCCTGGAGCTACAGCCACCCGAAGCGTCTGGCCAAGAGCCAATGCCAGGAAGAGAGCTGGCTTGGGCAGCGGACACTCTCCGCTGCCCAGGTGGCAGGCCTTGCGTCCAGCTCATCGCTCCTGCTCAGCGGGACCCAAACCACGCTGGAGGCGCAGCAGCCTGGCTCTCTCGGTTCCTGGGGTGGGCGCGCTTTACAGCAAGCTGTCTGAACCAGGGGATGAAGGGCAGCGGACGGCCGGGGACGAGGGAGGCCTCCTGCCGGGAATGTGCCCGACTGCCAGGCGCGCCGGAGATCTTGGAGGCAGTGACTCCTCGTATTCACCCAGCACTTGCACAGCATTCCAACTGGATCAGAACTTCTTGCACCCAAAGACCAACGAGGCCTTGTAACTTGCCAGACACGGCAGACTCCCCCCAGGAATCCTGGTGAGAGCAGATGGGGCTGGCGGGGGGGGGGGGTGCCACTCCGCCACACCTCCCTCCATGGCGGGGCCATTCTGGTACCTGGTGTGTTGGCCGGTCATCACCGCTGCCTCCCCACTGCTGGCCATCGCCTTCTCAGTCAGGTTTGTTTTGCTTTTATTTTGTTTCTATGCGCATTTTTAAATCCATAAACGGCCCAAGGAGCCCCTTGGACTATGGGGCAGAACAACAGCATAGTAATAACAGCAGTACCTGTGTTCTGCATTTTTAGTGGCCTCTTTTTTAGCTTTTGATGCTTACTTCCTGATGCTACCAGTTTGACTGGATTTATTATTTGTTATTTTTTCTTCATATTAAGACAAACGTAGCTGCCCCCCGGAATCCGAAAAGACCTGGCTGCCTTTTGTGTTGTAGTTTTTATATCGGTGCAGCGCAGGACGTGGGAGAACGTTGTTACCCTCTTCTAAGCCAGCCACGTTTACAGCCGCGCCGGCCCTTTCAGAGGCCCTGCGCTGCACCATATCTGGCATGGCTCCCCATTCGCTGATGTGCTCATCCGAGTGCCAAGCCAGATGGAAGGAGATTAAGCAGCGCTTGACTAAATATAACCTCAGCGGGAATCCTCCTTCCCCGGTGCATCGCACACAACTGGAAGCCACTCCTACAATGCGATTCCAGCCGCCCCGTGGGGGGACTCCAGGCACAAGGCACGCTGGAAGGCCCCCCCCGCCCCCCCCCGGCTTCAAACATGGTGCAAAGTCACATTCGTGACATTAACACTCCAATTAGGAGCACTGAATCGGGATGAACCGTGCGATGCAGTGGCTCGAGCTGGACTGGGATTTGGGAGCTGTGGGATATTCCGTTCCCACGTGGCCAAGAGCTCCCTTGGGGACAGTCACTGCCTCTGATCCTAACCTTCCTCGCAGGACTCTTGTGAGGAGAAAGAGGAACAGCCGCCTTGGGTTCCTTGCAGGACATAATAAATAGTGCAGAATAATGTATCTGGATTTAAAGTTAATCTTTGTTAGCCTTGCTGCTGAAAGGGAAAACCTTACATAATTCTGATTTTCTAGCTCAGAAAGGGCCACCGCCAAGGAGGGAGTCAAGGGAAATGTATGTGACTATGAGCAGTGTTGGGAAAGTGAATGAACGCAGATCCTTCTCCAGAAACATCGGAATCGTCAGTGAGCGCAGCCCACGAAGCCCCCCTGGGGGAATGAATGGGTCCGCTTCCAGGGCTGCAAGAAGGTGGGACAGCCCCTGGCTGGGCCGGCGTGCAGAATCAGGTGAGTCGCCGGCAACGGGTCTACCCAAGGTGAGCGGCAGAAGCGCTGCCCTCGCCGGGAAGGAGCAGGGGGCGGCTGCCACCTTGCTCTCCAGCAGCGAGCGCCTGGCTGGACGGGCCTTCGATCTGACCCAGCTCCCCCGCTTCTGGCGCGGCAGAAGCACGTCTGAACAAGCCACGCCTCTTGGGGTCAGCCCAGCATGTCCCACCAAGAGCGGGGAGGACGCCCTCTCCCCTGCAGCACCTCCCACGTGCCCAGGGACCCTCTGGGTCAGAGCTGGGGGTGCAGACAGCAGAGGAGGGGGGAGGACAGGGTGGGGGAGCCCTGCTGGTTCCCCCTCCTGTGAACCCAGATTTCCCCCAAGAGCACCCCTCAGGCGGTGACAGAGACACTCAGACTCGGTGGATGCGCTTGGATCCTGAGAGCCGGGCAAAGCGCCACGGCCGAGCCTGCGGAGGAATGAAAATGCACACAAGCCCACAGCCGGATGTTTGGTGAAGCGCCCAAGATCCGGAGGGGTGAAGCCCGTGTGTGTGTGTGTGTGTGTGTGTGTCTAAGGAGCCAATTCCTGCGTTCTTTCTCCGGCAAAGAGGGGCCGGGGGTGGGGGCAAGGGTTAGTCACCCAGAAGGTGGGGATGGGCACTCAGTGGCAGATTCGCCAATGCCCACCCGCCCCCACGAGCAGAGTCAGGCTGACCAGGCATGCAGACACTCCTTGATTCTCAATGCTTTGCAGGTTGCGGCAGCAGCTTCTGCATGAGCGCGTGCACTGGCAACATACGAGGGAGGGAAGGAAAAATGTCTGCTGCGCCTTACATTTTGCCAATGATCTTGATGAAGGTGCTGCAGTCCTGGAGCTGAGACAAGGCACTCAGGGGGTCATCCAACTTCAGACTGTTCACCTGCAGAAGAGGGCGACCGAGTTACAGGCTAGCGATCCACTCGACACACAGTAAGTACCAATGCATCAACCCCCACAGCGCTGCTACTGTGCTGTGTGGAAACCCGCGCATCGCAACCTGCCCACGGGTATACTGGGCGGAAGCCCCCGCGAAGAAAACACACGGACAGCGCGCATGACGGGACTGAATACTGGATCTTGAGTGCCAACGCCACTGCCGTGCTGAGACGCATGATTCAAACAGGGGCTGAAACACCCCCGGGGAGCTGCCGCAAACGATGCGGGTGCCCCCAGCAGCCACCCCGGCGCATTGGGCTGGGGCGCAAAAGAAATGCCAGTGCTCCGACTGCTGTGTCCCGTTCGCCCCTGTTGCCTCCAGAACGAGAGGAAGCACTCCTCCCCGTGCCGGAGGGCGAGGGGAAAGCTCCGCGGAGGAGGGCTGTTTGCGGGCCTCCCGGAACTCCCCCGGGGCCTGGACAGCTGGGCCTCTGCCTCGGCCTCCTTCCCTCCCTCCCGAGGCCCTCGACTGCGCTGGCGCCAGCGCCCCGACCCACGCTGCAGGCTGAAGGCCCCCGCCCCGCGATTTCAGAGCCAAGGCCAGGCAGAGCAGGGCTCGGAGGAAGCCGTGGCCGCCCGGCAGCCCCGCACGTTCCTTCCCCGCCACAGCTGGGGCCGCCTGAGCAGCACAGCACCCCACCGCCTTTCCGAATATGCAAAGTGGGCCCACCTCTCCCGGAGGCCTCGGTGGCATGGAGGGACGGCGGCTGCCCCACTGATCGAGCCGGGACGTGCACCCTTCTTGGCACCACCCGACCAGGAGCCGCCGTCCCCAACGGCCGGCTGGAGCCACCCCGGCTGTCCTCCGGCTCTGCCGGGCCCTCTCCGCCGTTCCACCCCCCGCACCTCCCCCTGCCTCTTCCTCCTGCCACGCTCTTCCTTCATCTTCCACACCCATGGCCAACACAGCACTCGACGTGCGAGGCCCGCCCTGCGTGCAGGACTCCTCGGCTGAAGCAAGCGGGGCAGCTTCCTCCCCTGTGGGGCATGGCCCTGCCCTGCAGAAGAGCCAGCCGCTTTCTGCCCCACTGTGCCGCGGCATGGGCACCGGGAGCTGCCATGGCCCGGTGAAGAACCTAAGAGCAGCCCGGCCCTGCGGCACCCCAGCCGCCCCAGGGATGATGCCCCCCGCGGGAGGGTGCACAACCTCCCCTGCCCCAGGCCAAGCTCCCGGGCAGCTGGTCCGCCAGAGTAATCTGCACTATATGGATTGAAATGGATTACGCCACACTCGATTAGCCAGGGAATAATCTGAGGATTTCAATTGTGGCTTCTGGTTTGACAGCGCTATTGATCATCTTAGTTAGTGCTTATCCCTGGGTTCTCCTTTTTATCACTGCAAACTGCTCAGATATATTTTTTTCTCCAGATATGCAATCCCGAAAAAGGGACTTCACTGGCGTGAAGTAACGATATTCTGATTTATGTCCTACACACGAAAATTGCCTCCACACTGTCCAAATACAGCCCTCTCCAGTGAAAGGAGGGGAGACAAAGACAGAGGGGTGCCCAGACACGGTCCCTTGACAGGCAGGGTCAGCTAACCCTGTCACCCCAAAACTCAGCTCTGCCTCAGGGGCAAGCACAAGCCCAAGGGGGAGCCCTTCCTCCACTCAGTTCCAAGCCGGCGCGTTTCGCCCCCCAAAGCAGCATTCTCCACATGCTGCCACAACTCAGAGACTGCGAGGAGGCCGGTTCGAGGGCGGCCACAGGCCACGGGCTGCCACACACCGGCAGGCGAGAGAGGGCCTTTGGCAGGCCTGCCACCCCGACGTTTACACACCAACCCGCAACCCGCTCCTTCCTTAGTTGCCCAGTACGTCCTCCACACTGGAATGCTGGGTGGCTGAGGGGCTGAACAACTCACTGGCTAAGCCAAGGCGGTCTCCCTCGAATATGGGGCAAAATGCTTTAAAGAAGGGGGGGGGCTTCTTCCTGCTGAAACCCCGATGGTGCCAAGCCTCCCCTTCAGCTAGACTGCAGGGTGGGCGCTGAGAGGACTTGGAAGGGGAGGTTCCTTTTTGTTAACTTCATTTATTATGCATTGTTTCTACTTATTACGTTTCTACGCCACCCCACAGCCAAAGCTCTCTTGCACATTAAGTGGAATATACACGCTTTTTAAAAAACTGGGTACTTATTTTAAAGTTCTTAAAAATATTACCAGCTGCTCAGCTTTTGGGGAAGAGGAAGGACAACCTCTCATCACTGTGGTGCCACAGAACCCCCTCCCGCTCCAAATTAGGCAGGTGCCAACCCTTCTGCATTTTTGGCATTTACTGAACATCCTTTCTTTTTTCAATATTTTTTGTACTTTCTTAAAAGAAATAGAATACAGAAAAGAGAACAATGTGAAAAAGAAAGAAGAATGCCAAGGGATCTTACATAAAGATAAAATAATTTATAGCAATTCCCAGAAGAACAATGGCACCTGCACGTATACAGTTTTGCTTCTGGTTGCCAAACACTGACATTCCTCAGCCTTTGTTCAGAGGCTTGTGGTATGTGTCCGTATCTCCAGTGCTGCCGCGCTGTTTAAGGATCGACACAACAGCAAGGCCACAAGGACACAGCCCAGAACCGTGTTCACTGCAAAGCACGGATGGCCATGAACGTTCAGGAATATCAGCACGGCGATCGGCACTCCCGTTGCGGCCTGTGCAGCTGCGGAGACTCCCTCGAGCCAGCAAAAGCAAAAGGGTCGCTGCAGAGCTGGGAGAAGGCTCTCTGTATTAAGCCGCGACTTTCCAGCTCTACTGGCATGGAAGGAACTTGGGCTCCGCCAGGAACCGCCACTTCTGCCCTCCCTCCCAGCCCATGCACATGGCGGGCATGTCGTGAGCGGAGCCGGCTGGAGCCGGGGGTCAGACCAGATGGCCCGGGAGGCCCCTTCCGCCTCGCTCGGCTTCTATGCTTCTAAGTGCTTCCCTTCCATATCCAATCATGTGCTCCTATTTTCAAGCCAGAGCCGAACACAAAATGACTTTCAATCAGAAGGACACGAATCCAAGCTCTGTGGAACAATGCAAAACACACACGCACGCACGAGGGAGCAGAACAGACCACTTCACCGGAGGATGTGGCAGGGTCCTCTAGTGACCCAGTTCCAGAAGTTGCTCAGTCATGGAACCAGGAGCCGGTGAGGACAGAATTCTCCTGTCCTGCAAGGTCTGAAAATAAGTGTCCCCAGGGATCTGCAGGCAATGATTTTTAGAGCTGCAGCAGCCCCATGCAGAATTTGCACCAGGAGAAGCTGAATCCTAGACCTTCCCTCAATTAAGCAAGTTTGCAGAGACTGCGGTATGGGGATACGTGGCCCAAAGCAGGGACAGCCAAGGGAAGAGCAATGTACCATGCAGGCCACCAAAGCCCAGACCCTGAAAATCCTGTGAGGCGTTTTCATGATGCCCTGGCTGCACAGAGCCCAGGAAAAAAGGCACAAGACACTAGGCTAAACATGAGCCAACAATGCGATGCAGCCGCCAAAGGGGCAAATGCTATTTTGGGGTGCATTAACAGAAGTGTTACTTCCAAATCATGAGAAGTAGCAGTTCCTCTATGCTCCTCACTAGTCAGACCTCACCTGGAACACTGTGTCCAGTTCTGGGCACCAAGATTTAAGAAAGATGCAGGCAAATGAGAAAGGGTCCAGCAGAGGGCGACAAAAATGATCCAGGGTTTGGAAACACTGCCCTGTGAGGAGAGACAGGGAACTGGGCATGCTCAGCCTTGAGAAGAGAAGGCTGAGGGGGGACATGGGATCCCTCCATAAGTACCTCAAAGGCTGTCAGAAAGAGGAAGGTCAGGATCTCTTCTCACTGATGCCAGGATGCATGACTCGGAGTAATCAAGTCAAGCTGCAGCAACCCAGATTCAGGCTGGGCATCAGGAAAAGCTTCTTCACTGTCAGAGCAATGCGACAGTGGGACCAGCTGCCTGGGGAGGTGGGGGGCTCTCCCACACTGGAGACATTCAGAAAGAAACTGGGCAGCCCGCTGAGTGGGGTGGTGTGACCTGGTGTCCTGCAACAGCAGAGGTCGGACCCGATGGCCTTCCTGGCCCCTTCCAGCTCTGCTATTCTAGGTATATGAAGACTGCAGCAGACACGTGAACCCAGATGTTCTGCCTCGGGTTGCAGGGTGAGGCCAGGAGGTGATCGACAAGGCTCCAGACCAAACGTCCTGGGAAGCTGAGGGGGATGGAAAGCCCACCACCCACCTCTTTGCCAGTCCAGCCACGCCTACAAAGGTGAGACAAGCTCTCTCTCTCTAGCCCCAACTGCTCAACCGCAAGCTAAATTAGTATTTTAAGATGCCTAACAGCAAGCCTTGGGCATTGTTTTCGGTTTATTCCAAACAGTACTTTTATTCTGCGTCATACTGAATGGAAGAGTGAGTGGAGAGGGCCACGCATCTGCCGGGGGGGGGGGGTGGCGCTGCCCAAGAACCAGCCGCGTGTGAGCTGCATGCCTGTGTGTGGGCGAGCTGGTGCAGGAAGAACGGACCCCCGCACAGGGCCCGACTCAGAACCGCAGCTCTCGCCCCTCGCCGGCCTCCCCAGCAAGCTGGCGACACTTGCTGTGGGCTTATTTCAAATGAAGGCTGCCTTGCGCGTGGTCGTGCGCGTGGGATCGACACGGGTGGCGGAGACACGTCCCGCTCCACGGGGACCGGCCTGCCCCTGGCCTCGCGCTGCCCTGCGCGTGGAAGCAGAAGACCAGGGACGAGGGGCCCTCCCGCCGCTCTCCTCCAGCTCAGAGCTAGCCAAGGGCCGGGCAGAGGGACGCCGTCTTTGCGCGGTCTCTGCCAGCAGGTCGAGGACCAACCACGGCAGGCACCGAGACAGGCGACGCACCTTTGGAGTCGAGCCTGGCAGGGAGAGGCTGGTTCGACTTGCTGCTTGTGCACCAAAGCCAACAGGAAGCTCCCGCCGCCTCTTTCGCCCCGCAGAATTCTCCCTTGAAAGGTGCTGTGCTGAGAGTGAACGAACGAAGCAACGGGTGAAGGAACACCCATTGGGAGGAAGCACCAGGCCGGTCCCGCTGGCCTTCCGCTGTGACAACCGAGCAAACAAGGCTGCTCCATTTTGCCAGGAAGCCCACCATGACTGACCTCGGTGTCCTGAAATCCTTTCTGGATTCAATTCCACCAAGAGGCCATCTGACTCTTCCCCGGGGCGAGGGTGCTCCGCCTGCCTTTTGAAGTCCTGGGCGGCTGTTTCTGGGTACTCCTTTTAATGGAAGGGTATGGCCCAGTGGGTGTGGGGCGATGGAAACATTCGCCCTTGCACACGCCTTATACAACGATGACCCCAGCCAACCAGTGCACCCATCCCATTGAAATGCACAAGCAGGACAACTGAGCGCTACCTAGTTTACAAAGGTAAACATAGAAACAGAAACAGAGCGAGCCAGGAGGGGCCTCCCGGGCCATCTAGTCTGACCCCCCGGCTCCAGCCAGCTCTGCTCATGTCATGCCCACCATGTGCACATCCAGCCTGTCCTTGAACACCCACACCGATGGGGCCTCAACGACCCCCCGTGGAAGCCCATTCCACACCTTCAGGGTCCCAACCGTCAGGAAGTGCTCCCTGGCATCCAAATGGAGCCTGGGTTCCCCGAGCTTGGCTCTGTTGGAGCGCATCCTGCCTTCCTCTGCAGGGGAGAACAGGCCTCCACCCACCTCAGCGTGACACCCCCTCACACACCTGCGTGTCGCCAACATAATTAGCAGATGGGGGAAATGTGTCCGAAATGGCTGCTAGAACTGGTCTGAGGGCCACAACACGGCCTGCAGAAAGGTCCCGCCTGGGCCGCCTCACCCCTACAGGCACCACACGGTTTAATGCTTATATTCTAATTCACTGCCCTACCTATTTTAGTTTACACACCTTCATCTCGCATATCCAATTTGTTAACTGAGCACACTGCATTTTTATCTTGACGAGTCTCAGGAATCCCAAGGAATGCAACTCCTCTTAGGCCTGGCTACCTCAGGCGTATCCCTGCGCACATCAGGAGAAGGCGAGGTTCGCTGGGGAAAGCTGAAGGCAGGAGGAGGGAGACCAGCTGCGAGCTGCCTCGGTCCTGGAAAGGGACCAAGGGCCTTGGCTTTACAGAAGCAATGCGGGGCTGTTAAGGACAGGGTGTCCGGAGAACACTCATTTGGAGCGCACGGCAAGCCTTGCCTGAATCCCAGGCCACTCCGGGAGCACTGCCCGAGGAGCAGAATCGGAATCCACGGGCAGAGAGCATCGCCTGGCTACAAAGAGCATTTCCAAGCGTTTCAGCGCGGCTGCGGCACGCCGGGCTGCAGCATGCCGACACCGCCGCATCAGCAGCCACTCTGGCTCCCGGGGGGCTTCCGGGCTCACCTCCAAGAGCTGTTTTAGCCCTGGACGTCCTTCATGGCTTGGGACAGCAGGGCCTAAAAGGCTGCTCCGTTCCACAGGGGCTTGCCCCGCAGGACCTGTCTCCGGGCGCCCCACCGCCCGGGACACAGCAAGAGACCGAGCGGCTGAAGGCGGCCCACCGGCAGTGTGTTCCCGCCGTGGGGGGGGGGCACCCCCAGCTGCTTCCCTTCGCCAAGCTCTCTGCTGTGACCTGTCACACGTTCTCTGGGCCTTTCCATTCCTTTGATCTCTTCTCTCTGCTTTATTTTGGCAGCGCTTGTTGCTTTTATGGCGCTTCCGCCGACTTTATCGTTTTTAATATATTTTGGTATGTTCTTCATCTGAATGGTTTTAATTTATTTCACTGTATTTTGCCATTTTGCAAGCTGCCCTAGATTTGTATGGAAGGGCAGGCTCCAAACCTCTAGTGAATGAAGGAGGCAGGATGCCGCGAGGCCGAGCGACGTCTGCGCCACCTGCCCCAGACCTTCCGGGTCAGTCAGGCTCAGGGTCAAGGCACCCGCCCCCCGCCAAAACAGGCGAGAGCCTCATCGTGAAGGTGCACACAGGCGCTCCATCGTTCTGAAGTCCCTTTTCCGTGAGGAGGGAGTGGCAGGAGGGAAGGTCTGTCCAGCTGCTGGTCGCTGTTGCACAGAATCCCCCCCAAACCCCACAAGCCAGCTCAAACGTGGCCCCCCAGCCCCCACAAAATAAAGCCTTAGTTCGCCACCCATACATGTTTCTCTGGCACGGAAAAGCCCCTGGACTTGTGCATCGCCTCCTTCGCACGTCCTCCATTTCTCCTCCCTAATGACCCGCTTTGCCACCGAAGAACAGCCGGCTCCTGCAAGTGGCCGCTTTGCCGCAGGGCCGACCACGGGGCCGGCAGGGCAGCAGCACACGGGCGGCCGCCGGCAACACCACCGCTCTGGGCAGAGATCACGCAGCACAGCACAGCCGCAGCTGGAGAGCAATGCGAGGGGCGATCCCGTCCCGCAGGACGGCCACAAACAAGGAAGGGACACTCACCCACGCGAGGAGAGCCGAGGCTCTTGTGCTGTGAAGAGACATCTTTGTGCTTTGCCCGGTTCCCCTCGACCTAGAAGGACCAAAGAAAGGGAAAGCGCAGTTAAAGTCTGGAGATAAACACGTCTGCTCTTCATTCAAGATACGGCTCTTCATAAGGAGGCGGCACGAAAGGGCAGCTGTTCTGCTCCTGTTGAAATCACAACCCTTTCCGCAGAGGGAAAAGAGGGCGCGAAACTTTGCAACGAACCTTTGCTTGGCAGGGCTCTTGCCATGCGACACTGGAGCAAATGGCCCAACTCGGCCGGCGGGGCTTCTAGTTCTGTGCGAGAGCAGCTCCAGCGGGAACGTGCGGCATACGCGGCGCCCAAGACGCCCCACAGAGAACCAGGGGCCCGCGGCAGGGTTATCGCGCTTCACACGGCTCGTTGCTCTGTGGGACCCCAGGAACCGCGCTGCGGCGTGCGTTCCACGTTTCCACCACTGTGTGAGGCAGCAAGAGCTGCCGCGGCTGCAGCAGGAGCTCCAGACCCCCGTTTGCTGCACTGCTCCCCCCAGAAATTGCTAAGGCGGCTGCAGCTGAGCTCCGGCCAGCGGCCTCCTGCTCCTCGCGGGTGCGGGGCTTCTGATGCTCGGCCGCGGAGGCAGGATCCTGCCAGCGGGGGGGCCCTGAGCCCCTCCACCTGCAGCGGCGGCGACCGCGGGAGAGCCACACTCGGCACGCCTGCCCGGTCGCTGCCCTGCGATGGGGCGCCAGCGCTCTCTCCCTGTGGGGGCAGCCTGCTCGAGGGCACACAGACCCAGTGTGGGCCTTCCCCTCTCCGCTCTGCCTTCCGCCCACTCCTCCCTGGTCCCCCACCGTCCTCACGATGCCGACGCAAGAGCGGGATCCGGTCCCGGCGTGCGCAACGGCCACTCCAGGGTGGGAGGTGGAGAAAGCTTTATCCTGCAGGAAAAGGTCTCCCTGCACAAAGCAGGCAACTGGAGCCCAAGGAAAAAGCAGCTTTCTGTTTTATCATGTTTTAGAGGAATGTAAACAGCGCTGGCACAGTCTTATCTTCCAGGGTCACGGAACTGCCTCCTTCCCAAACCCCACGTGTAGGCACTTCTGGGGGACACTCAGGTCTGCCCCTCAACTGCTCCCCACAAGGCCTGCCGGAAACCTTCGCTGGGTAGATGCCCAGACAGGTACCCCCAGGAAAGTCTGCCCCGCAGGCCGCGCCCCCTCCATCCCTGGCACAGGGGCCTCGCTGACGCGTGGTGTGTGGACACCGCCAGTGCGCTTGAGCTGCATGCAGAAAACCCCTCCAACCCCCCCACAGCCCTCTCTAGCTCCCTCCATCCTGCATCCCTCGCAGGGAGACTGCGGTGCGAGGACCCCCACCCAAAGGTTCAGGGTTGGTTCCTGGGCAGAAGAGAGGCTACCCCATGACTCTGGGGCTCCACAGCAGACGGCACTGACTACCAGCCCCTCCGCGGCTGTGGGGTGGGGCCTCACGTGCCTGCATCGTGGGCTTGCGTCAGTCCTGATTCACAGCCATACTAGCCCATCAGTCTGCGGGCTTTCTAGAGAGGGCACACCAAGGGGAAACCCGATACGAAGGGATTGCCTCCCAGTGATATAAAACCAATCCCGCCTCATTTCTTCAGCTGCCGATCTGCCTCCATAATTGTTTATTGCATCCATATCTAGCCTATTTTCTTACAAAGAGCTCCTCTCTAGCAACAGCTTTCCCAGTACCAGAGGCAACCTCCTCCCCGCTTGACGATGATAATAACGATTTGTAGAGTGGAGTCACTACCGTAGTCACAGCGGTCTGTGCCACCTCGGGTCTCTAGGAGAGGCCCCACATTTGGAAAGTAGCCGCCTCGCAAACAATTCCTTGCACAGGCAACAGTACGCAAGGGCATATCCAATCCCCCCCAAAGGGCATTTAACATGGTACAGTCCTGGCTTGTTCTTGAGCATTTGGGATAGCTCTACTCGGAAACGACTGTCATGATGATGTTTGGATCCTGATTTCAAATTGCTAGGATTTCCCAGTAAAAAAGGAAGGGAAAAAAATAAAGAAGCTTCTGTAGGAAACAGAGAACTTTCAGCAACTTCTAGAAAGCAGGAAATTTTGCCCAGAAGCAAAATGCTAATGGAAAGCAAACATGAACACAACCCTTCCACTTCATTCAGGAGGAGGCTCGGCTGCCTGAAGCGAGGACTGACGCCCTGATGCGGGAGGGGGACCCGGGATGGGATTGGGATGCCGCTCCACCAGTTTCAACTTGCCATCCAGCCCTGGAGAAATGCTGGAGCATGGATGCAGTTATGACTCAAGACTCCAAGGAAAGGGATAAACAGGAAGTTGACTTCTGGAATTCATATGCAAAAGCTTCTCAGTTGACTACAAACTTAAATTAGATGTTGGTTTTTTTTTTTTTTTTTAAGATTGTGACAGTTGATCTCCACAACTGACTTTGTGAAAGCGGAGAAAATTAGAACTCGTTATACAACAGCCTGTATCCAGAGAAATTACCTCACTATCCTCATCCCATCCTGGAACAGGGTGACTGCATGTAAACCAGGTTTCAATGCCATGCATTTTTTGACAAATGTGCTTTGCAACCGGCTGCTGCACCAATTGAAAGATGCACGTTGCCAACTCTGGAGGGAAGAGCGAACCAAATCAACCTTCCAGTGGATTGCTGAAACTCCCGAGGCCAACACGGCAGCCTTGATGGTTTTCCGTCAGAACGCCTGGGTTCTTCCTCACTGAATGCTATTTTTCCACAGGTGGCATGCACAGTCCCCTGGAATTTATCATTGCGTGGGGCTGCTTTTGGAGGGGGGAGTGTAAACCCATTTTTGCTGTCTCTGTCAACATACATACCTATTTAAAAGTCTGCTAGCTAACATAATCCAAGCCTTCTAGTCATGGCAGCCCTCGTCCTCTTTGTACTACAGAATTTACGTTTGCTTTTAGGAATGAATGTACACTAGACGGATTTCTGTTTGACTCCCCAAGCACCAGCAAGGATATACTAAGCAAGATCACTCACTTGAAGACTTCAGTGCTCAGGACTTTACAGAAGCAAGAACGGCTCATGACTCATCAGAACGAAGCTGTTCTGTGGCATGAAGAGCAAATATCCGTGCTATTTAGTTGACAGAATCTAATACGAATAAATCACACAACAGTAAGTTGCATGTACTATTTCCTTTTGTTCCCGGGTTGCCCTTTTATACATAAAAGCGCAGCATTTAAGGCTATATAAGTAGTGGAGTGTTATGAGTTCTATTTTAAACTGCTACGGCGGAAGGCTTTTATGTATTTGCATTGCTATTTTAGTGCATCATTATAATTTGCACCTCCAGATACTATTTGGAAACTCATTACCTTTGAGAAGCGCTCATAAACCTCAAGTTTAACTAAACAACCTCACCTTTCAATCAGCCTGACTTGCCTCAAAGGCGATTATACCTATTTTACAGAAAAGAGAGGGAGGGTGGGCGAGGGAGTGCCGACCACGCCGGCCTACAAGAACGAAATCCAAGGCCTGGGATGGGAGCTGCTCTTCCCGCCCGGCCAAAAGGCCGCAGGACCACAAGCCAGAGCCCTGCTCCAAATCTCATCTTAAGCCAAAGCGGCCCCGGCCCTCCTCCCCAGAACTCATTCCGGCTACAGAGCGACCGACCAGCAGCAGCCGCTCCGCTCTCTTCAGCAAGACTGGACATTTCAGGCACGGGAAACACAAACCAGAAGGAAGGGCAGAACGTTCGCGTGGGGTCTGCAGCAAAGAAGGTTTCTCTGCGGCACAGCCGTGACCTTACATGCGTTTTCGACAGCAACATGTCCTTATCCCAAACTCTTTGAGGCAGCTTTCCTGGGCCTATAGTGTGTAAATCGTTGACACAGAAAGGAGCCGGTTGGTAAGAAACACATGGACGGCCGGACTGGGATTCTGTGCAACGTGCACCGAATTATGCAGTTCAAATCGAGAGATGCAGAGCCAACAAACCTGCGGAATAGTTTCACTTTACTGGGTGCATTTTAGCACCTGGCCTGTATTCAAAAATCTGCTTTAGCCACTGCCTACGGGTAGATTGTAGCCATTGAGGGAGGGCGAGAATCCGAGCAAGTGAGGGGAATAAACTGTTATTACGATGTTGCATTAGCTGGAGCTCTCTGGGTGGTTCAGGACGTTTAAGCCACCCAACCAGCTTTCCACATGAATGCTAGGCTCAGGCGTCTTACCTGCAAGCCCCCATTCACAAAAACACAATACAATGAAAGCTCACAGATGCTCGTCAGGCAGTTCAGTGCCAGGTTTTTAAAATGACACCAAATGCACAAATCTGCACTACTCTGCCAGTGGAGGGTGTCCCGTGTTTGCGGGAGCCACAAACTCATCGCAGGTGGCCCCGACTTGCTTCCAAGCTGATAGCCACCTACCCGAGCTTATTAGAGGGAATAATCATCCAGGCCCATCAGCTTCGGCTAAATTAAATGCCGCCACTGCTCCTCTCTAGCCATGGGGAAGCAGGCAAGAACTCCTCTTTCAACCTTTGGTCAACACCGGCCCGCACGGTTGCCACCACGAGGGCCCTTTCCAAGAGGAGGAGGGGGATGCAAAGATTTTGGACTCTGCAGAAGCGGCCGCGTTCCCTTTTCCATGGCCAGGCTGCCGTCCCGCACGGCAGGGGAACACCACGCTCTGAGCTCTGCCCCTGAAACCCGTCACCTTCCGAAGGCCAGGCTCCGTCAACTGCGGAGGGCTCTCGCTGCGCGGGGTGCCAAAAGCCCGACCAGCCACCGCCCGCGGTTTGTCAGTGTCCCGCAGCCCAGGAGGCGGTGCTGCCGCAGGCCGGCCGCCCCTGCCTGCACGGTGGAGATGGAGACGAGTGCGAGGAATGCAGGGGGAATGAAGCCGGGCGAGAGGGCCAGCTCCCTACCGCGACTTCATCTCGTTTTCGTTTATGCTGGTATTTTAACTGTACTGTTTTATCAAATGTTATTGCGTTCCTATTTTCAACGACTGCCCAGGGAGCATGATGCTAATGGGTGACTCTCAATAGTAATA